ACGATTTTATACAAGTAATTTAACACTTTTTCTGTCACCGGAAGTAACGTCATTTTGGCAAAAACTGTATTTTTAGCCTTCAAAACAGATATTTTATTCAAATGAGCCTGATTTGTATTGTTTTTAAAATTATGATATTTCATTCCAATCAACAAATAGATTAAACCCACACGATCATACAGATACCAAAAAATGGTTTCTAACTTGTACGGTTGCAGAGAAATAGACGATTTTCTACAGGTCACTTTTCAAGGTTTTTGTTCTATAAAAGTGGCAATTATTATTCGATTTACATAAAATTTTCACCATGTGATGCCTTATGCCATTTATGATTTCATAAAACTAATTTAGAATTTTCATTATCACCGGAAGTAATGTAATTTTGTCAGGATCACTTACATGTAACAAATGTATACAATGAATTGGGAGGGTCTATTTTCAGAATGTATTTTTCATTACTTACTGTCCATTTATCATACATATTGTGGCCTAAGTAAATTCTTAATTATTTTCTGTCAACTTCTTTTTCCGCTATTTAATTGCAGAGTCTTTTGTACGTTAACGCCCTCAATGTTCCCCAAACCGCCTAACCATTTGATCAAGATATAACAACCGCTCCCTCAGTCAAGATAGCACACAATAAGCTTGCATACAACAGTCGGGTTGCCAGTCACTGATATTTTTGCCCAGTACTTGCCTCATGGGTATTTTACGGGTAATCCAGTCTTTTTCTAGTAAGATTGGGTGTCTATACTTTCCATACCAAATTTACCATACTTTTATTGGCAATAACCAGCCGATAAATACTTTCGGGACAAGGTATCTTTAATTAATTGTTAAATAATCAATTTATGTACATTTTAGCATGGATTGAGTTTAGAAATATAAGATATTGTTGAAAGATGCAGCTTTAAGACTTGTTTAAGATAAATATTTTAACTTAAAAGCTCCATTTTAAGGACTTGGGAGAGTTATTTTTGACACAATTTCAATTGTGTGGCAGGTTCCTAGATATTGAAAACTGCAGATCACAATTTCTTTGTTCAAGATGTTTAAGACCATGTCCTCCAATCTATGGCAATAATCAACAAAACTGGAGTGATTAAAGTAGGCTATGTTCTATTTTTACAACAAATCTATATATGTTCCCCAGTTGTTTGTTGTCATACAAATAGTTTTTCCAGACCTTGCGGATGGAAGTTTGTCAAATACAAACATATGAACTTTTCTTGTTATGTTCGTGCTTAATGCCCATTTTACTGTAAACAGAGCCTACAGCATTGCCTAATGTTTTTTGTATTTCGGTTCTTTATGATATTTGACAAGGGGGAGTCAGATAAGGACAAAGATTTTAACAGTGCCAATTGGTCACTTAATTGCAATTGTCGCCTTCAAGTTCTGAAGGTCTTTCATTAATGCCATGATGTGAACAGATGCAGGGATTCCTCCCACCTCTGAAAGCTATACATGCAAATTTAAAGATAATGAAAAAACCATTTGCCATCAAACTGAAAATACATTTGGGAGAGATTTTTCTGAAGATGGATATGTATTAAAGTAGTTGCTACATGTGGTGACTGGATGTCCTAAAGGTCTAGAGACAAAAAAAATGGATTTTATGATCACCTTAACAATGTTATAAATGTTATTGTTAATAATTCATAATGTTAATCATTCATAAATTGACAAAAGAAAGCTGTACAACGAAATGAATATTGTCGACTATCATTATTGTGCTTGGCTGGCATTTTATTTTTTCATTGTATCGATCAAAATTTTACAATTTAGATAGCTTGGTATTAATACAAGATTGAATTTTTTCAAAATTTATCTGATGTGCTTCTTTATTGTAAAAGACCAAAGTGGTAATGTTTCCTGCAGTCGTAGGGTTGTATTTGTTTAATAAATGTTCTTAAAAGATTTGTCACAATGGAGAATTCTCAGGGTACAGAAAACCGTTCTTTAATAGTCAAAACAACCCTTATTGATTTTTGAATAACCGGATCTTTTTTTGAAATTCTTTTTTACAAACAAAAGGTAAAATTCCTGTTACTTTTGTATTTAAACAATTAATTAGCAGGTAGATATCCAATAATCAGTGATAAATGGTTTTAAAAGTTGACTAACAGTTGTTAGATTGCAATTACTAAAGTAGGTCTAAAAATATTTACTAATGACTCAACTCTATATTTGAAAAATTTGCTGTCAGGCAGAGCAGCCAGAGCTCATTAATTAGCAGTGGGCAGTAGTGTGACCAAATGCTGATTTTACCATTTAAATCTTCTAAGGCATTACAAATGTACATGAACAATATTTCAATATTCAGTAATAAAAAAAAACAACTTTCAGAATTTTAGAAATTCTAATCCATATATCTGTTTTATTTCAATATTGGTTAATTTTATTTGATTTATGTTCCTATAGGGAATATCAATACTTGTTGATTTTATTGCATTTATTTTCCGATAGAGCAGGGTCCATTTGTTTTTATTGACATTTATTAATGATTTATAACAAAAAATCAGTTTAGTCTTTTTAAAAAACATTTCGAATTTGAATTTGAGCTAACACCCTATTTCTTAATTCTGTCAAAGCTAGCATTTAAATGGAAATGGTTTATTTACACTTGAATACTTTTAGTTTGAAGACATTAACCTCGGATGACATTTGTTGAGTGCATTTAACCTTTGAACACTCCCACTTCATATCAACATCATTTGGTTTAACGCTTAATGATGAACATGTAACCCTATCAACAGATAATGCTTAAAAGATGTTGATTAAGTCTCAGTTGCAATATGATTCTTAATACAAATAATTAACACTTGTAATTAGATGTTAACACTGGAAAACCTCTTCTATATAGACATTGTTAAAGGAAGTTCTTGGATTTCTACTGTACCATCGGCCCCTTGCATGGGTGTGTTTTGTTAATATATGTAAGATTGAAGACTTCGTTATCAGTATTCAGTAAACTCAAATATGGAGGCCTGTTTCTTATAGACAATCTACTTATTTAAATTAATGATATTCCCCCCAAAACTTATTTTGAACTGAAAGTAAAATATCAAGATATTCCCTTGAGGTTAATTAGGCCATCTCGAGGCAACCTGAAAACACACACATTTTTAGCAAAAATTTAGAAATTTCTTATCACTGAGAATAATGGAACCATAAACTGAAAAACACAATACCAAAAAAAAGGTTTAATTGTTGAGTACAAGTGTAGCGGAATATACATGTAGCTATGTGTTACACATGATTGCTTATTGCTAAGTGACGGTTGTTCTCATAAAACTAGAATTATATGCTTGATTTTATTGCAGTCAACATTACAGTTCGAATACAAAGTAATAATCTTTTTGTTTCACATAATGAACATGAGTGCAGGTTTCTTTTCAAAACGAATCCTAGACATAATGTCACAATGTTAGTTATATTTTATTTTTTACTTTAATGATTCCAATATCTTTCAATAACCTCTTGAATTAATTTAAGTAAAAAAAATATCATTGTGACATTATATCCATTATTAGTATTGGGACATTTTGTTCTGTGACTTTAGTTCCCTGTGCCTTTTTTTATGTGGGCATTATGTACTGGGACATTTTGTCAAGTGACATTACTTTTCCTATGTCATTTGTCCGTGCACAGGCTTTATGTACTCATCTGAGACATTTTGTCCAATGACATTATCGCCGGATACATTTATACACCCATATTGAAATATGGTCGTACATGTATAATGACGATCGATCCAGCATTCACAATTGCTTGTGAACGCTCTTCGGGCTAAAGTTTATATCCTATTGAATTTAAATTTATACACAATGTTTAAGTAAGATCAAGAGACGAAGAAGCCTATTGATTTTCAACGATTTCTGATAATTACTGTCATAGTTATGGCCCTTGATCACTCTAAAAAATCTGGATTGACTTTAAATTTATACACAATGTTTAAGGCCATGAGACGATATTTACTGCTATAGTTATGGCCCTTGATCACTCTAAAGAATCTTGTGGACGCTTTAGAGGCGAAAGTTAATATCCAATTAACTTTATATTTAATACAGTGTTTAAGGCCATGAGACAAAGAAGCCTATCAATTTTCAATGATTATGGCAATTGATATTAAAGGACAATATTGGTGCCAGTCATTATCACATATGTGTTAGAGCTGGTTAAACACATTCCAAATATATTTTTAACACAGAGATCATTGCTACGATAGCTGAGTAATACAGGTTTCCTGTATCGGAAGTGACGAACGCCAAAGGAAAACACGAGTCACCGCTGATTACATAACTGACTGAAGTGACGAGTGATAACAGATACACGGCCGAATTTCTACTCACTAATAATTCTTTCCAAGACCAAAAGTTGTTATATGGGACTGTAAGAGGATATCTGACAATTCAATAAAGTAATTGAATGTCATTAGATATCCTTTTACAGTCCCATAGATAAGAGAACACGAGAAAAATAGAAATAGTCCGTACATTCCCTTGTTTATATTCATTCTATACCTTATAAAAACACGATAATGCACAGACTTTTTCTGTTTTTCTTTCGTGTTCTCTTATCTAGTGGCAGTCAATTCTTTTTATGAATTGTCAGATATCCTCTCACAGTCTCACACAAAAACTGTTGGTCTTCAAAGGAATTATTAGTGAGCAGAAATTCGGCCGTATATCTGTTATCACTCGTCGCTTCAGTCAGTTATATTGAGCGGTGACTCGTGTTTTCCTTTGGCGTTCGTCACTTCCGATATTGTCCTTTAAATGTTTTGTATGCAAAATGTTAAAATAGAGCAGAACTAGAAGCTAAATGGGTTGTTACTCGTAGTGTGTTATAAATGTTTTAATTTCTGACAAAAGACAAAAATATGCGACAACCCTTGTTGACTATCTGGACGACTTAGCTGCTGTGGGCGTATGTTTTGTTGCCTGGCAACTTATCTTTTGAACTTGAAATTATAAATATTTATTGTTCCATTGCAGTCCACAAGAAGCATGAGGGATGTTAATAAACATCGTCATGCATCAGCAACATGTCCTGTACCCCGATTACCGCCCCTCTCTATCAACAAACTAACTCAGGTAAGTATTGATGAGCTTAACATGTCTTCTTGTTTAAAAATTAGAATCCACATCTATTGTCAGTCTACTGTTTATTAATATGTGATCTATAGAACAGGGTACTTTGCAAGAAGCAAATGTATAGTCGATGGCTTGAGTTAAATAATGAGTTTATAGTGGAGAGTATTAACCTTTAATATAAGTCTTACACATGCTTCTTGCATTAGCAAAACGGAAAAATACACAACTTTCTAGGATAGATTATTTAAAGAAAGGTTTTAGCTTAGCCAATTAATTCTATAAAAGGGATTAACATATAACACCATATGCACTGTGTCAGATTGTTCAATCACTCTTATTTTCATCATATTTTTCTAACTTCATTGATCTGTTCCTTGTTCAATAGTGTATGTAATTTATTATTAATATACATGTAAATGAGTAAAAATTCTATACTTCATAACATTCTAAAATAGATGTTTTATATATTCCATTTACATGTATACATGTAGCTCTGTCACTTATTTTATGGCTTGCAGATTTATGTAGAAAACAAAACAATACAATTTAAAGCTACATGATTGTAATATGTCATCTATGTTACATGTAATTAGTTCTATATGTCAGTCAGTCTAGGTGTTTTGTTGAGTTAAAAACTAAAAGCCATCTGTAAATTTTATTATCTGTCATTGTTAGACTCGCAATATTAGACCAATCAATAGTAACTCAAATCAGTATGGAGTACATGCGTGTATTGTTTACAACAATCTTTTATCAAAGCCTTCTAAGCTTGTTGTCTGAAAGAAAAAAAAATGGAAAATTTGATTAATTCTATATGTGACAAGAATTAGGCTCGCCCATCCAACCTCGTGGGATTTCTCTGTTTCCTCTGGTTTCCTCCCACTGCTAAAGATCCCTGCACACAATCAAATTATTGAAATAAAATTGAACCATGGGTTAGTCCCGAAATGACCTAGTTTGTGTTGAAAGAATGTTAAACCCCATTTCTCTCTCTCTTGTATTTGCATGACTTTCAATGTGAATATTTATTTCAGGGTCAGTTAAAGGCGTTTGTACCAGGTTTAATGCAACTAGCTACAGGTAATGCTGGTAGTACTGATAAAGATATGACAAAGGCTGCTGATTGGTTGTTATTAAACTCTACACAGTCTAAATCAAAGGAGGTAAGCTACCTGGTATTAACAAAGGTGTAAAATGAGTTAGTAGCTAATAGCTATGTGAAATTCTTCAATAAATGATCATTAAAGATACGTTGTCCCCAAAGTATTTACCGGGTGGTAAAGTCTGGTAAATTTGGTATATGTATGGAAAGTATAGACTTGATTTGAGCTGGCAGACGTGGCGTCTTAACAACAGTTTATTTATAGCTTGAAGTATGTCCCAACGAATACAAAATTTTGAGAGGGATTTGAAGCAAAGTTTTGATATATTAATTAGTTTGAATATGTTTTTAGTCCAAATATATCATCAAATCACACAGTTTGTACGCGGGAATGTATCTTTAAAGTCGCCTTTGTAAACTACAATATTGTGATTATCAGTTAAAAAATGGTTCAATTCCTTTTAGTATTTACAAAGATCTGTGGAATTATAATTTCATCGATCTATGCTGCTCGCTATGTAATGCCTTGTCACTAGCGTTGGTATTTTAGTTTTGTTTTCTTAATTAACTGTTAAATAATCAATCTGAGTAAATATTGACGAGGATTAAGCCGTAAGAAATTTGATATTTTGGCTAAAAATGAAAATTAGACAATTAGTCTTGAAATGTTGTAGAATATGTAAATTATACCCATTCTCATGCATGACACCTGTTACTACTTTTAGCTAAATGGCGCATTAATTAATTCACAGCCACCTCATTTATTCTTTCATATGATTAAAAGATTAACTATCGATGCATGATATTAATATTGATTGATAAGTATTTAATTTCACGACTCGCAAAGTCAGCAATATATTGCGAGGAAAAAAGAGTTAGATTATTGATCATTTAAACATACATTATGCAAGAGCTAAATCTGCCTATTGCAGGTCTTTTTTTAGGCCTGAAATGTTATCTAAATTATTAACTCTTGATGTCTTCGCTAGCCCACGATATTTACTGGATTAGGATTCAATCTGCTGCTCAACTCTCATTCATGATTAAATCAAGAAATGGATAATCAAGACTATGTATTTTATTGTACCGACTTTAGTAATTATGACCTATGCTAGGCCCAAAATTCAATCGCTAATTTCTCGGTTCAGAGTAGATCAATTTGACTGAAATTTTCAGCAAATTGCCTTTACATTATCTAGTTTTTACTTATTATAGTGAGAACTGCCAACTAAATCTAATCTCCCATAATGTATCTTAGATCTAGAAGCATTTGCTTGAGAACCTTGGTCGAATCATCACCCCGCAATAAATATTACTGCATTCCATACAATTTAGGGTTAGGGTTTGTTATTCATTGGTCCTTTCAATACCATGTTAGTCTAAAAAAAAGACTGTTAATTAATTTAATTGAATAAGTGGTTCTTTTTATTTTTCTCAGAATATAACGACTGATGTATTGAGAGCCATGGTGCGTAACTGTTATAGAAGATTAGGACAGGAAGATTTACTATCCTGTAACTCAGATGCTAGCTGGAAATCAGCTTTAGCCAGACTCACAGAACTACAATCCAGTAATTACTATAACAAGGTACAAATTATTTCATTCAATAAAACAGTTTGTCATTTAAATGGATTATCTTTCTTTTATGTTGGTCATGTCTTGTTGGTGCATTAAGTACTGGTTTCTACTAATGCAGATACTTTAGTGACCACTCACTCAATCTCTTTTTCTAGTGTGGTATCCTCTTGCCAATGGTGTAAGATGAGCCTGGCATGGAAGAGTGTCTAGTTGTTCAAACGGGATACAAATCCTAGGCTTTGTGTTTAACTTGAAGAATATGCGAAAAAAAGCTGTTAGGGCAAAATTAACTCCAATAGCACACTGCATGGTGTATCTCCTTCATAACTTCAGTTGGTAGGGAAAAGATGGACGTTAAACCTCATTTCATTTCCTGACATTTGTGTGACATTTTATAAGCAATAATAACCTAATACAACTGTAAAGAACTCTACACTTTGACAGTACTTAATTAGTGGAATACAGTGATATTAAACATACATTATTCAAGAGCTAAATTTGCCGAATTCAGGTCTTTCTTTAGGCCTGAAATGTTTTCTAAATTATTAATTAGACATTAATTAAAGGGACAATAACACTCTTGCTGGCTTGAAAGCTCCAGAAAATAAATAATATCTCTATCTAAGTACTAGATGTTAAGTGTCCTACCTGTTGTGTAAATTATCCATTACATCCTATTTTACTTGTCCAGAGGGTTCGAAAATATTTTTAAATCGAAGTTTCATTTGAAAAAGTTTACTTTAGACGTTTCAAACCATTATGTTGAATTTTTCAAAATTTTCAAATAAAGTGTGTTAAGATGAAATTTGTATCATCAATTAATTGAAATATTCTAAAATAGTACAATTTGTTGACCAGAATAAAGATTGAGACATATTATTCAGTTACAACAAGAGTGGTATTGAGCCTTTAACTTATCCAGGCCATAATTAATTCTTCGATGGCATCAGATTTCTCCGATATTAAATAGATAAGAACAGTTCAGCCATATTTTGATTTAAGCTAAAAATGGAGGAGCGAGACTTGGCTTCGAACAATCAGTACGGTGGTTGAATGTATCTTTAAATTATATAAAATTTAACATTTCATTTTGAACATTCCAGGTTCCACAGAATTGTGGGAGTATGGAATATCTTCCAAGTATTATGTCTAATCAAGGTATGTATTTTTAATCAGATCTTTTCTGAAAAACGGGATCCACGGTGGCTAGGTGGGTAAGGCGCTGGCTCGCTAGCCTGGAGGTCGGGTGTTCGATCCCTGCATTGGCCGAGAAAGTTCATCCCGATTTTCCGACGTGGTTTTTCCTTGTCAGTGATGCAGGACGGTGGGCCTGACAAGGACAACTGTCTAGTCCTTCGGATGAGACGAAAAACCGAGGTCCCGTGTAAACATTGGAATGCACGTAAAAGATCCCTTGGCAGTTAGAATTCGATATAAGAATAGGCGATAGTGCCGCTGCCCGGGCAAAATTTCCCTCATAGCACACTGTATGGCGTATGCCCGTCTTCATTAGCCCAGTATAGGAGCAGAACAGTAGGACGTTAAACCCCATTTCATTTCATTTCATTTCTGAAAAACTTAGCCCATGACTTCTTCAATATATGGGGTTGAATTGAAAGTTGGGAAATAGTGGTTTTAAAATAAAACAGAACTGTAATAACATAATTTGAAAGGAAAGTAATGGAATTTAGTTGTTAGGAAGGTTGATTTTGAATTTGCTGATGTCGACTGAGAAGTTTACCAGGGTAAAACCTTATTTACATTGAGGGGTAGCTAAGTGTGTAAGACGCTGACTCGCTAGCCTGGAGGTCGGGTGTTCGATCCCTGCATTGGCCGAGAAAGTTCATCCAGATTTTCCGGCATTGGTTTCCCCTTGTCAGTGATGCAGGATGGAGGGCCTGACAGCTGTCTAGTTGTTCGGATGGGAGGAAAAACCGAGGTCCCGTGGCGTGCACATAAAAGATCCCTTGGCAGTTGGAATTTGATATAAGAGTAGGCCGTAGCACCGCTGCCTGGGGAAAATTTCCCTCATAGCACACTGTATGGCGTATGCCGGTCTTCATTAGCCCAGTTTAGGAGCAGAACAGTAGGATGTTAAAACCCATTTCATTTCTATTTACATTGAAGTGTATGTTAGTTGGAAAATAACAAAAATATGGTGTATATTGAAGATGTTAACTGTCCATTCCATTTTTTTAAAAATTGACATTTTTATTTGCAGGGTATATGAAGTCTTTCATTGAGATATTTGTGTGTTACTTCTGTTCAGAAGAGTTTGGTGCCAAAGAAGACTTACGGTTACATCAAGCAGGATGTTCTCTGAGACCACCAGAATTACAGGCCATTCAGTCTGCAACTGTTCCTGCAGCACCAGCAGCAGATTGTAATGCTGCTTGTCCTCAACTCATTCCTCAAGGAATGGTGTTCGAGGAAAAAGTGGTCACTCAACCTAAGGATGAATATTTGGAAGGTTTGGATCTAGTCCCAGTTCTAAAAGCAAAGAAAATACGGGAGAGAAGAAGAGTAACAGAAGTTGAACTTGATGTGGAAACTTTCATTGAGCCAGAAACTCCTAGATCTCCAGCAACTCCTAGGACTCCCAAATCTTTGATTTCCCAGTTGAGTCGTGATGGTGGAGAGTCGAGTTCTTGTAAAAGAAGACTTTCCTATCTCTTTCCAAGAGACAATAGTGATGCAGAAAGTGTTATTAGTAATAATAGTAGTGATGAACATGACGAGCATCATAAACCCTCCAAAACTCTCTCCCTCCTCTTTATAGACATTGCTTCACCTCTTGGACAAAAAGTGCAGCATTATATGACTGCTGATGAAGTATCATCTAAAGTGCTATCAGACCCAGAATCATTTTGTAAAACTCCAGTCAAGGACACAACTTTCTCAGAGAAATTGCGTGCGAGAAACAATATTGTGCAAATTACTTATAAACTGACTCGCAAAAGATTAAAACAGTTTAATCACATCTATCATTTTAATAAATCTCAGCGTCTCGACAGATATGATAGACTTAGAACTGGTCTAAATAGAGGAAGCAGGATAATGAAGAAATCCTTACCAAAATGCAGACTTGAAATTCAAAGATTAACACCTAATGATTTTAAGAAATGGAAAGCGAGCATGGATCCACCAACAGTGCCTTTGAATTGGAAAGCTCTAAGTAGAAAAGCTGCATTGAAGAAGTTATCTCACCAGATTTTGAAGCAACCCTGCAGTTTCCCAAGAGGACCAGTGTTGTTATCTCCAGGCATTGATAAACTCTTAGGATTGAGGACGAAAGAGTCTAGAGCAACCAAAAGAACATCATTGACCTTAACCAATGTTGTATCAGAAGACACTAATGCAGAAATGGCCCAGATTAAGCTTTCTCTTTATAAGTGTTTACTGACAGAATTATCGGACCGTTCCCAAAAGAATGATGCAAACTTCCTAAATACTTCCCCCATAAAGGATCATCAGCGGATGAATGATTCTCCAGTTTTCTTATCTCCATGTTCTGTAAAGATCCAACCCCTCCAGAAACCTAGTCCTAGATCATCTCCTTCAAAGAAACACAGTAAGGTTTCACCAACAGGTCCTTTGAAAATAGAAATTCCTACAAGTGAACATTTCAACAGCTTTTTGTCATCCAGGAAATGTTCTTCTACTGGAGAAGATTTGTTGAGAGATATTGACTGTTTGGGATCAGATGAATCTATTTCTGTTAGAACTGTATCTTCAGACGAGTCATTCAGCGGTATCTCTCCCAATGAAGATTCCTGTGTTAAATGCAGAAATATTGTATGTAGCTGTAATATTAAAAAAGAAAAGAACATTGATAGTAAACAGTCCAACATCTCCATAGATAAAAAAGGTGACAGCAAGCCTATAAAACGAAAGGTGGGAAGGCCTTTGAAAGATCGTAATTCAGATACAAACATCAGAAAAAAACCTGTTACACCACCAAGAAGTGTAGGAAGACCATCAAAAAAAATGATCTCAACAACTAAGCCAGTATTATCAACCTCTAAGAACAGGAATCTCACCAGAAGTAGAGGCGATTGCAGTCGTCAGATTATCAGAAAGTATAGAAAAGAGTTAACAAGTAACCTCCTTAGAAAGCTTCAGATTGATATGGTGGAATACAATTTCACTCCATCAAATATGACTTCTACTGAAGATGTAATTCCAAAGGGTATGGCTAAAAAACTTCACATTGACATGGTTTGGGATCCAAATAATACAAAAACGGGACGTGGTGAATATAAAAAAGTGCTAAAAAGTTCAGCAAGTGGAGATTTATTGCAAGTAAAATCAAAAAAGACAAACACTGTTAAACGTGTTCCCAAATCCCCAAGTTCTGATTCCGAAGTGTCTTTTAAAAAAATAACAGACTCAGCAGATTCATCAACTACAACAACAAAAAGTAAATCTCTCTTCATTTCTAAAGATGCAGACATCAGTCAGAAAAACTGCGAAAAGAAAGTGCTCAAAAATGAAAACCAGAAGACTCAAACTTCTGAAATGTCAAAGAAGAAGCTGATGCATCAGAAAACAGCCAGTGTTCCAAAGGGCTTACAGATTGATATGGTTTGGGACTTCAAAGATCCCAAGACACGTCATGAAGGTGGTGGTTCAATGCAATCATCGCTACTGAAAAGGTCAAATTCGATCTCAAGCAGCCAATCTGTTAAAGCGCCTTCCTCAAAAGAAACGACACAAAGGAAACAGCCAGGTGCCATTTCTAGCCCATTGAAAACTTATGCACTGAAGAGATCACATAGTCAAACTTCTAAAGCATCCCCTTTGAAAGATTCCAAGAAGACAAACAATATGGCAGAAATACAGAAAAAGTCAGTAAAGGTATCTCCGCTGAAAAAATCAAACTTTAGTAAGTCGGCTTCCGAAACAAATGTGTCAAGTCGTGGAGCGACACAAAAGAAATCAAGCAGCCCTGCATCTACCCCAAAAAAATCTCCTTTGTTGAAGAAATCAAGCTCTATTTCCAGTTGTAAAGCATCACAATTAACTCCATTGAAAGAAAACAAAACAGCAAGCACTGTTTCCAGTCCCTTGAAAACATCTCCAGTGAAGAGATCCAACTTGGTGTCCAGCTGCAAATCACCTAAAGCATGTCCATCATGTGATTCTCCAGCAAGAAAGACTAATAGTCCATCACCCAGCAAAAAAACTTGCGGAACTCCAGTGATTACAAAGTTCTTTCCAAAACAGAAGTCCTTGCCAGCATCACCTTCACCTCCTAAATCCCTCAACAATCCCAAGTTGACCAAATCTAGTTCTTCCCCAATTAAAACTCAACAAGTAAACCCGAAGAAAAAATCCTCTAGTGCTACAGGAACTCTCTCAAAAAGCAATGCCAAATCTCCCCAAAAACAATTAGTCAAAAACTCTCCCAAAAAGCAGTTAGTCAAAAACTCTCCAAAAAAGCAATATTCATTAACAAAATCTAAATCTTCACCAAGTAAAATTTCCAGTGATAAACCCAATAGACCTAAACCAAGTGTATCTGCTGGACACTTGTTGGCTGGAGCAAAAAGAAAATTGTCAGTTGGTTCAATATGTGCTCCAAAACCTAAAAAACAGAAATTGTGAACAATGTAGGAAAGATATGATCTGAACATTATATTAACTGTAAGTGGTATATTGAATCAAATTTTACGGAACTGTGTACATAGAATACTGTAGAGGACTTCATTTTGTGTGTGTGTAAAATTAAATTTAAAGTGCTGTCTGTAAAATCAGGTACAGACTCCCATGGTGCATTGAATTGAAATGAGATGGGCTTATGGTCCTACTTTTCTGGACTTACTGGGTTAATGGTGCATTGAACCCTGCAAGCATCCTGTGTTAAATATCCGGTCCTGATTTTCGAAAAACTTAAATTAAACCATCATTTAAGACTGTTGCCATTTGATTGGGTTGTGTAAATTTAAACTGATCAAATTGACAATAAGACTATCTTTCTCCAAAATATATCCTACAATTCGAGTTGGAAGAATGTTGTTTCTGCATGTAAATAACCATTGAATTTAAGGGATTCCAGAAATCCTGATGCCACTTCTCCTGGCTAGCAATTTCCAATGTGCATACGTGTATATATTGAGATTAAGCCATCAGAGTAAATATCCTAAACTAGGGTGATATTATACAATGTATTTGTTTGAAGATACATTTAATTCTTGTTACATTAATTGTTCTTGTTAAAGCTGCCAAAAGTTACACGATTGCATTATTATTATTATTATGTTTTAATAGAAAATGCTCTGTTCACCAACAATCTCAAGAAGTGATGTTCTCATACATGTAATTTTAAAATGTATTAGCTGTTGGTGGGCTGAGTGGTCATCGTCTGATTAAAATCAAAAATGAATAAAAAGGGAACACAAGACAATAGATGTGAAATAAGAAAATAAACTATTCTTACGAAATGTTTTAAAGCTGTGTGAACTTTGTATTTTGTATTTGTATTCTGTATTTGTGTATTAAAGAGACAATAGCGTTTAATATTATACTACCGGTAATTTACATATATTTTTGAATCAAATATTTTCTATGACTACTAATAGGTATATTTATTAGGTTCGACTGTTGAAATGTTAAAGTTTTAAAATGGGAAAACTTTGAAGTCATGGATAATGAACTATGCACTAATTCTAATTTATAAGAATTATTTATATTTTTTTTTTGTTGTAATTAGTAGAGATCTTTGCTTAAAGTTTTTCATTGGGAACTCAATTTCTTGTTAAGTTCAAATTAAGTTCAAGTTAATGTACCAGGTTTTTGGTGGTTGAAGTTAAGTCAATGTAGAGTATAAGTCAGATCATTGGATTTTATGATTTTTTTCAGAAAATTCACCATTTATGACTTCTAGCAGAGTATATTATTATTATTTTATTTTAAGTCTAATTTTTAATATAATACTTATGTGATCATCTCAATAAGATTACAGATCTTTTTAGTCATCGTTGTAAATACCATTAACATTAAACAGTTGCAACCATTTATTGTAAAAAGTTTAGATGTTTAAATCATCAAAAAAATATTGCAATACTTCCATTTGTACATTCATCATTGTTACTTAATGATCGTTAAAGATCCACAAATTTTAGAATTTGTCTTCATGACTGGTAAAAACTTTTACAATAGTTGTGATTAGTAAATTCATCACAAGGCATTGTGTGCTTAATCTTGCTAGAACTCCTGAAATAAATAAAACTACTGACAATTAACAGTTCATCAGTAAATTCATAAAGTAATTGATAAAATGATCTTGATTTTTAACCTCTTTTTCATCTTTTAGAAATATCAGATCTTCATACTTTAAATATTTTATTCAACCAGATTTTTATTATAGAATGCACTTCTTACTTTGACATTGATTATTGAAGGTGCTGTCCCAATGTTAAGAGAGCACTGTAAATAAAAGTTGATCTAAGTACGGAAATTCAACACAATGTGTTGATTTGCTTAAAAAGGGCTAGGTAACCAATTTAAGAAATTTCATTCTTAAGTTGCATGAGTGACTGGATAATCCTTATGATAGACGTGGTTATCCAAACTTGGTGGGTCTTCAGACCAAAGATTTGTACAGTCTATTAAGCCTGTAAGAACAAAGACCGGTATAGCTTGTATGAACAGTAACAGCAAAGACACGTGCAACCTGTTTTGTGCAGTTTGTTAGGCTACTGGTAGTAAAAGTAAGGACTTGTTGGGTCAGTAAGAACAAAGACTTGTGCATCTTTTTGTGTCAGTAAAAACAAAGACGTGTACAACTTGTTGGGTCACTAAGAACAAAGATTGACACATTTTGTAAGACAATGTACGTTTGTTGAACTAACACAATGTTCTACAGACACTTGGCTAGTACAATTTGAAAGACAATTGACTTGTACAGTTTGTTTGTTTTACAACTGAATTGTATACATCTTTACCTATAATATCTGACTTGTGATGTTGATAGATATTTGACTTAACAAGTTGTAAATTAGTGATAAATTAAATGAAGGATGTTTACTATAGAAACTGTCCTGAGTTGTATGGTTACATTGACTTTGTGCTTCAGAGTATATTACTGGTATTTGAGGTCTAGATTTAGATGTGGGTGAGATAAATTAATTATATATATCATGGACCTTATAATAAGGTCTATGTATATAGTAATAATTAACTGTTTATGGACAATTTTGAGCTAAAATTATGCCTGGGAAAAACAGTCTAAAACCAGATTCATATTGTCAAGGTTAAGCTTATTTTATTTGTACTTACAAGTGAATAGAAACAAGGGTTTGAAAACATAAATTTGTGACATGTTCCAAAGACTACATTTGCACCAGGTTAAAGGAGAGATGATAATAATTTTATTATAATATTTCAATATGTAAAAGACTTAATGTAACCTAAAGAGCTTTGATTTTAACATATTACTGAATTACTGTATGTTTTACTCTACTTAATCAACTCATAAATTAAATTTAAAAAGACAAAGAAAAAACCAAAAAAAAACCCCCCAAACAAACAAGACTCATATCAGTCTGTATCATAATTACCACATTAGTATCTAATGTATTTTGATATGAAACTCACTATGTAAATCTTATGTTTGTCTATCAAGTTAAAATTAGAAAGAGTACATGGGTGATATTCATTTTTGTCATGGGGAGTCTTTAATACTATGTATTTTGATCTTTGGTTATCAAAGAAACTTTTAATGTGTATGACAAATTACTACCCTAATGAAACTGAAAGTATGCTAACTTTTCATCCCAATAAAATTTATAATCTGACATTCATTTGTGATGGCCTTTAGTGATTGCTTAATTCGTTGAATATAGTTCCATTATATTTACCCGTTTTACCAAATATAGTTGATAGTTTTTATCATCATGACATAAAATATTTATTTTTCATACTGTATCACCATGTATATAGCCATATGTGATATAACTTTCAAATATTACCAAGTCAAAACTGTTCTGTTTTATTTGAAATTGTAAAAAAAAAAAATTTGTAAATAAATCTTATGTATATCATCAAGTGACAGGATGTCTGTTTTCTTTTCTCTTCTTTGACATGATGTAGCAATAGCCTCACACTAGTATTCAAATAGCCCTAATTAAAACAAATATTTGTGTAGAACTACAGTAGTCTACAAGAATTTTTATACGCTCACATGAAAATGTGGTCGTATATTGCTCACTCCCCCATCCGTACGTCCGTCGTCCACAATTTCTTGTGAACAATCTACAAACTATATTTATCATCTGATTGTTTTTTTAAATTGATATACGCGGTTTACATTAGTGAGATGAAGAAGCCCATTTAATTTCAATGATTTCCATTAATTTCCTCAGGAGTTATGGCCCTTGTTTTGCTTTATTGCACCTTGTGAACACTCTTAACGACAAAAATTATCATCCAATCTGTATGAAATTTATGTGCATCCTTTAAATTAGTTAATTATGGCCCTTGTTTCACTTTGTCGAACCCTGTGAATGATCTGACAACAAAAGTTATCATCCGATCTGTATGATATTTATATGCATTATTTAAATTGGTGAAATGCAGAAGCCTATTTCCTACCACTGCTAAAGACCCCCTACGCACAAGCGAATTATTGAAAAAAAATTAACTACTTTTTAGTCCCAAAATGACCTAGTTTGAGTTGAGTGAATGTTAAACCCATTTCTCTCACTGTTGCGGTCCATTTGTGTCCCATTTCTAGGTGCCAAAGAATAGCTATTCTTCTTTTTTTATTAAGTTGGATAGACGAGACATGGATTGTAATGAAAGTGTAGTAGACTTAGCATTAGATTATTGAAATTTTAAAATCAATTCAATTTAGATTAATCTTAACATCAATGCTAATGAATGGACAATGGCAATATGTTTCACAGAGGATTACGAAAGTCTTCTAATATCTCTGTAAAAGATGACTGCATTAAACACGTGGCGTCACAGCACGCTGCGTCAATCATTTGCTCAATGCGCGTGCATTGTATTGTTCACATAAGACGTTACTGCATCAGGCAGAATGCTGCTTTTTACTCATTTTAAGGGAGCTAAATCGCTAATATTTGGAACCTAGAAATTGACCCAAATGGGTCGCAACACATATAATAATGTAATCTGATTGTATATGAACTGATTTACATTCAATTGTTTCCATTTTGACTGGCATGGGTCTCAACCGAATTGAAATTTCCAGCGTCTGGTTATTCCAGTCTATTGCGCATGCTCTCCAGATAAGTTATGGCGTTGCCATTTGACATGAGTTGTAGAATATGTCTAGCCTGTTCTTTCTGGTCACTTGTTACAAATGATGCTGAAACGCACTGTACACGATTCGTGTACCAATGGTAACATGTTTATTTTGTCTTAAATATTGGATATCAGAAGCCTACCTTTTCAAGGTAAGAGAACAACATCAATGTTGATTTGAATTGACAAAATTCGTGTTTTCAACATGTAAGACTTTGGATGATTTTGAGTTAGAGACTTAGCTACTTTAATACCCATTTACACTAAATAGGAAATAATTTTTACATACAAATACGTCAAACGTTTTTATTTATTTTTCTAATACATAAAAAAAATGTTTTAGAATTTAATTTGTCGGTGGAAAATAGTTGAAATTTTTTGATGTCATCCTTATCAGTGATTGTAGCGGCCTAGCGAATATTCACTGCTGATAAGTGTGGGACAATGGTTTGGGGGGGGGGGGGGGAAGAAAAAAAAAAAGATAACTCCATTTAATATATTTTTTAAAATATAGTTACCTCCCTTACGCCGTAAGTAGTCTGAATTGGCAGAACTCCCAGCCAGAATATCTTGGGCTCAACTCCCCACTCCCGGCGTAGCCAAGAAGAATCTTCCGAGTCTAAGTTGTAAGGGGCTATTTTTGCTGAATTGACAAGAGTGTGTCTTATTTCCGAGAACCGACAAAAATCAGGTTTTACGTGAACAATGACTTGAAGGTTATTTGAAGATAAAGAATAAAGACGAGTTCTTAAAATATAGTTATCTCCCTTAGACCGTGAGTAGCTCAAAATGACTATAATGTCCTGGGTTCAACTGAGAAGAGTGTGCCTCATTTCCGAGAAGGGACAAAAATCAGAGAGATAAGTCCATTTATCGTTTATCTATAATAAATAAACATTTCGACCAGGCTTCTCTAGTCTTTTATCAAGCCATGAAAAAATATAACTGCCATTTCCCCATAATGGTGTCTGATAAATCATTTCAATTGCATTTAGTAATTGAACTAGAAATTTTGATTTAAAATTCCACCTTTTTTATATTATACTATGGTTCATGTCTGTTTTATTGTTCCATTATGATTTTGGAACTTTTTATTTGGGATATGGGTAGTTGGGTGGATGAATTGTCTAACGCATGCACTTTAGATAATAAGGTCTGCCATTGAGTCAAGTGGCACGGTTTTGATCCTACACTAGTACGTGGCAATGGGGTTGAATGGCCTGTCAAACTCCGTAGGTTTTCTCCCACAAATAAAGTCCGCTAAAGTTCAAGCGAATTATTGAAATAAAACCGATCTCTGTTTGTCCTAAAATGACCCAGTTTGTTTCGAGTGGACATTAAACACCATCTCTCTCACTATAGCTCTATGAGGTATTTGATTCCAACGGTCAAGTCAACAACACAGGATGTATTCATGACCACACAACCACCATCTTGAACTTCCTGGAGCAGGAAAACAAAAACAACATAAATATAGAGAATAGCTTCTCATGTTTTTTTTTATTATTTTAGATATATAAAAGATTAAAATGATTTAACTGTACATAGACAGGATTACATGTACACATCAGATCTTTTTTTCAACAAACATGGTCAGAATTTCTTCTACATTAACATTCATTAAAACACAGTTGTGGACCACGCCCACCTTGTTGCACATCCATTTTTATTTACTACAATCTGAGCCAGACATGAAAATCAAAATTTAAAACTACAACTGTGATAATCTCACAAACTGATGGACCTTATTCATAATCACACACAACGATACTTAGAAAATCCTATTGGAAATTCATTAGATGTAAGATAAATTAATATTTCCAAACCTTTCTATGAATAGTACAGAGCATTTAATCTAATAAAGTGATCACTGTTCCTAACAAGATTTGTACCACAATTCAAAAAGACATTGTAACATTCTGATTTTCAAATCGTATGACTCAGACAGAAGATTCTATGCAACAATTAATAACGATGAAAAAACATAGCACACAATAACATAAAAAGAAAAAAATACAGTTATTTACAATTCAAATCTCTATACAATAATTCAATCATTATATTGATTTTGTATTAAACAATAAAAAAAAGATTTGAGTCGATAGACAAGAAGAAAGATAGAAATATTAATAGTTTTGCAATTTAGAAACATTACTTGGCTGACATTCCTGAGACCATCGACTCATCATGCACAAAATATGAAAAACAAATCTGAATTTTATTAAATTTGTTCAAAATGTTTACTTCAATTTGGTATATCAACTTTGTAATTTGCACATTACTTTGGCACAGTTGATCAACTTTACACCAAATGAGCTATTTAATCTGATCGATGTGACATCACAAATAAAAAAAAAACATTTATGCACATCTTATATTAGTAGATATCATATTATGATATATTTTTAAAACTGTAAAATGTACATTTGGAAAACAAACGTAGTAAAATGATTGTAAAATAAACTATGTACAAAAAGCACTGTTAAATTTCTTCTATAAACTAAAAGCATTCCCTTGCTGTTAAAATTAACTTTTGACTCAAGTTATTTTCTAACAAAGTCACTCATCTCTTCACAAAAACCTCAAACAATCTATGTATGAAAAGCGATTTTGATAAGATTTGGATACCAAACAAAACGATTTATATTAAGATATTAAAATGATATTTGAATATTATATCAAGTATAAAATAAATGAGTTAAAATGGTAAATGATATTAATTAATACACAAATTGAAAAATGAAATATATAGTTGAGTTTATCATTATAAACTATTTTGAGCACATTAGGGTGGTTATTTCTTAATTAATCCCATTATACTATTTTAATAAGATTATTCAATTAATGGAAATATTAGTTTCTGAATTTATCAGGTCACGATTTCTGGATCATGGCTTTTGCAAAAAAAAATTCATAGTTTTATAAGCTTATGTCTCTGGAAAGAACTTAATATTAAGTCTATCTAAGAAAAGTTTAAAGCAAGCACACAAATTAGATTTTATAGCAAAACAAAATATGTTGAACATATTTAATGAAATATATATATATATATTTGATCGATTAGCTAATTTAGAATTTTAATAAGGACCTATTTTTAGCAGATGAAATTGGAAGACATTAGAATGCTTTTAAAAAAAGGAAAAATATTGTTTATCCATTTATTCATTTCATTTTTTCTAAAAGTTTAATCAAAATAGCCTGTCATTTTTTTTTTCAAATAAGAAAATATTGAATTCTATTTATACATGTAAGTTTTATATGGAAGACATCAATTTGCAGTGACTCTGAGGTCAAATTACACTGACATTAGTGTCAATTTACTTTGGCTCTGAGGTTCACCATAGACAATTTAGGTGCAAATTTGAGCTTAAAGTGTGTAACATTTGTTTGAATACAACACTACTACTAATGTTTTAGGATATTAAAATTGCTCAAACTTAAAACTAAAGATATCAAAGTAACCTAATTAAAACATTTTTGAATTAAGAATCTGATAAAAATTATCTAGGTAAAACTAACCATTAGGAAACTACTTGTATATTATTATCTAAAGATGAACATATATTTAAATTAATGTGCCTTTAATTACCTGAATGACAAACCTTTCAATTTCTATCTAAATTCTATACCATAAAAGTTTGTAAATGAAAATGAAAGTAGTGCAGTTGACTATTTACACAGTAGTACTGCAATAAATATACTAAATAATATCATGTATATATAATGTTAAGCTTTATATTTACTATATATATATACACAGTGTATGATATATGTATGTACATATAATACAGTTAAATACACACATGACTATATATTAGGTTATTTTATAAAATACATGAAGGTAAATAAGACAAGATTCATCACAGGCCACTTTCATCTATATTTGTACACAGACAGTTAGTTTTCTTACCTAAAGAGAATTTTAAATACTTAAATTTAATAATATTTATAAATGTCCAAACATACTTTGAATAGTTTTAATAAATTATGTCTGTATTAAGGGGATCAAAAGTACTTGAAAACAAATTTCTGTAATAATTGATTTTGATATATTTTAACATATATGCCCGAGACAAATTACTCTGGTAATCTCTTCCAACAACCAAATCCGAAACATCAACAAATATGTATTTAGACACTGCACTGACGAAATTAAAGAAGAGATAACATACAATGCTTTCCACCAGTCAAAGAATCTAGAATAATTCCATTAAAACTTATCTAAAGGATAAGAGTTTTCATGAAGGTGGCCCATGATGTTTAACTGTACATGGGGATAGACCCAGTATCACAGAAAATTAATGATAATTTTAGGATACATAACAAAATATTGATCCATAGAGACTGTCAAAATTTGTTGTTTTTGTTTTAAATATTTGAGATCACAAGTGTTAATCATTTGGAAACCATTTCTGTCATTTATCCTCAACAATGTCATGGGAGGATTCAGTAATTTTTAGTTTAACTAAATTCTATTCTACTAGTCTTACAAATACCATTATTAAGTTATTTAGAATTTAAACTATTACCAGTTCGCTTAAAAAGTAATGTCAGCTGAATGGAACTGGAGAAAACTGACCATACCATATTTTTGAGTATAAAGTATAAATCACATCTGGTTTCTTATATCATCAATTTAAAAGAAACTTTGTCAAAAGTCTGAACAATCCAAATCCAAGCAGTTTCTATAAAATTTCTGATTCATTTGATAGAAATGAAATCTCATTATGTTTATGATCACACAGTAAATATTATTTTCTAATTATTAATATCCATATGTAATATCTATCCACTAACAAGGCCATTTACAAGAAACAACCAATCAAAACAGGTCTTTTAAAAGGTAAAATCCTAAAAGGTTATGGGTTAAGAGCTTGATAATCCATTCTAAAGAGCATAAAAATGTTACTTCTATTATAAAATACACTATAACACATTATATCAAAAGACGAAAACATAAACCCCTAGGGTTTCGGCATAGGTTCTTGAGCAGTTATTTCTGGAAATTTGCGTTGCGTTTCTGGGGAACGGTTGGGTTTTTTCATCACTGTTGGCTTAAACTTTATTTTAGGTTTCTCTGCAACTGGTGGAGGCATCGGACTTGTTTTTATTGTCGGAACCATTGGCGGTGATTCCTCGGAGGAATTCAAAGATTTTGCTCTCATTCCTGGAAGAACATTTGGTGAACGTTTAATGGCTGATGAAGATGAAAATATCGGAACTTTTGGAAGAGTAGGGGGAGAACTTTCTCTCATGACTTCCTCTGGGTTTATATTCCGAGGCATTGAGCTGGCCTTTTTCAAAGTCCCTTGATTACATTTTGCAAAGTTCTCTGCAGCACTAGAATTATTTGGACTATCTGGTCCGCTACTGCTATCCTGGGATGTCGGAGAGTTCGATCCCTCAGGTAAATCAAGCACCAAATCGGGGGTATGTTTAGGAGTTTGTTTTGTTTTAACAATCGGTAAACTCATTCGTTTATCTGATATTTGTTGCATCTCAAGAGATTTCAAACCGTCCATTACTTCCGCTAAAGCGTTATCAATATCCATTGAAAGATCATCAGCACTTGTGTCCGTGGTGGATGAGGAAGACAAGATCCTCTTTATTTCTGGTGTTTCTGGGCTTGGGCTTGACGGAACTAAGCTCGAACTACTAGTTACTTTAGATCCTATACTACTGCGAGGAGTAGGTGGAGGTGATGGGGTCATTGTATCAATAATATCTGTTTCCCGAACTTCCGTTATCGTGGTTGGCAAGGTTGTTTTCTCTAGTTTACCAATACTGCCATCCTCGCTGCTCTGTCGTACTGGTTTACTTGGTAGAGAGTGAGATGAATTGGATCGATCTTCTTCAGAACTAAAACTCTTCTGTTCTTCACTACTGTAAAGGAATTAAACAAATTAAAATCTTATCAATACAAAAACACTAATGGGTCTGGATAAAACGGTAAAGCATTAATGGACTTAAACATGATCCATCACAAGTCTACCCAAACAATACAAAATCTAATTATATCTTATATCTGAGGCAAGAAAGTTACTATCAGTTGAAATATTTGCTTCATCAGAGCATGTGTTACTGAAGATAGAAATGGTTTTGATGTAGAGTGGGGTGGGTGGCTTGGTATATATGGCACTGACTAACTCGGTGTGGGGCGAGAAAGGATATTCCATACTTAGCCAGGACAAGCTTCTAATCGTTGCATTAAATCACAAAACTGAGATCCACCCCTATACTGATTGGCATGCACATTAAAGAACTCTTCACAGATGGAATTTGATGAAGAATAGATGAAAACATTGCTCTCCAGGCAAAATTCCCCTTTTAGCACATTTCATGGTGTATGCCATTAGCCCAGTTGGTGCCTGTATAACACTGTTTGGAATTTACTCCATTGGTCATAATCCCTAGTGTTACATGAGTGCTATAAGTATCAAATCCATCCTATCAAATTGTAAAAGATATAATGCACATAGCCCTCCTTTCTTTAGAAATGGTTGCTCACCAAGGAGATGGTTATCTGACACGATATTTGAATATCTACTTACCCAGCAGTCTTCCATGTGACATATTTATCAGGAATTAACCCCTCTTTTCCTCCAAATGCTCCTTCCCACCAATCTGTTGAAACTTGTTGATAAATGACTAGAATATCTCCCTTTTTAAATGACAATTCTCGCTCCGTACGTCCCTCAAAATCATACAATGCTGTGGCTTCCAAAATATCGGGTTCTGAAATAATAAAATGGACATAAGAAATTGTTAACTTTATTCATGCTGGGTTAAAATGTGACCAATAATAGTAGGAGCTAGAGTACAAAAACATTATGATGAAAAAAACAGACCACAATCTTTTTTCTTGTATAAATTCCTACCTGACGTAATCATTTATCATCACTGAAGCTAATAAAAGTTTTAATGATGAAATGGAAACTAGTGCTTATTTTAATGCCAACTTATATCTCAATTATAATAGAGATTAAAATTTGTGAAAACCATTACACAAAAGGAAAGAAATTCTAAACATTTTTGGCCATTGGCCAATCATGAATAGTATACTGTTTAATAATCACTTTGATCTTAACTTTAAATTTCATTGGAGATAAAGATAAAACATGTACAAATTGTTACACAAAAAGAAAGGAATTCCCAAATTTGGGTCCAACAACTATTACAAATTCTTTTACTTGTAGTGTTAAAAATGGTCAATTTTTCACAAATTTAAAACATGTAAATCCTACAGCATGCAATCTTAGTTCTCTACTTATAACTTTAGTTTAAAATATAGCAACATAAAATTGGGATAAGCAAAATGAACTCAAAATGGTCGTTAACTTAATTGTTAATTAAAATAACACATATCTGACAATAAAATCAAGTTGAAAATAAGTGCTTGTCAAGATCAAATTGCACGGGTCTTTCTCCCCAATGATTAAGTCTTTCTTTAGGCATTTTTAATTTGACAAGTCTATTATTTTCAATTTCTGATAATTCATTCTTTCTAAAATAAGCGTGGAGGAAAAACACCTAAAAATAAAAATATTCATACAACTGACGGAACTCAATGATTCAACTTCTGAATCTGAAGCAAAATAAATTAAAAACAAATATTTTTAATCTAAAGAAAGATAAACATACATCCCTAAAGCTCTCAAACACCATCAATAAAAGACAATTTAACAACTTTTAACAGATAATGCTGAATGATGGTTCCAAGTCAATTACTATTTGACTTAATAAACCTTATATACTGAGGTTTCCATGACAAGTTGCAAACCCTAAAGCAGCATGTCATAATTTTAATGTTTTTTTGTTTGTTTTTTTTTGTAAAATAGTGTAATATTTAACTGTTCAGACTGTACAAAACGTAATAACGAAATTCACCCAATTAATTGACCACCTTCTTCTCACTTTTCAACAATAAATGTAAATTTTAAAAAATTTATCTGATAGCATTAACTGCTACAGTATCCTTAATAGGTGATGGACCCATGAATTTGTGAATATACAACCATATTTCCATTTGGGCGTGACCAGCAGAAAGAAGCGATAGTACTCGTCAATATTTCACCAGGTGAAAATAAAACAAAACAACATGCAGGTGAATAAAACTAAATAAACATCGGACATTCTTCTTACCAAATATAGATCCTGAAGGAAAATAAAACAAGATTATTGTAGACAATATTTAATCCAAACTCAGGAACGAAGTGACAACTAGGGCTGAAGTTGTGTCTCAATTTCAACAATTCATATTTAAGAATTCAAAAATATGATATGTAGTAATTATCAGGTGATGGCTATCTAGTGTCAATATCATCAACTGTTGTCTATAATTACTGGAAGCAATCATTTTACTATGAAATTTGCTAACATCTTCCCCACTTTCGGTTACAAAAATGTCAACTTTTTAACCTGATCAAAGATAGCTGATATTGATAATGGTCTATGACTTTGTGTAATACATATAAAATAAATGACTATGTTCACAGAAATCTGATTATGTTGACAGCAGTAGAGATATTGCTGAAACTTAACTTGTTTAACTTTCCAGACTTGTGAGTAACGGGTAGGTATGTACTTTGTTAATTTCAAATGAGTTTTATTACTTGATGAAGAAGTACAACATCAGAGCTGTGCTATCAGTCCTCAGTACAGTAAGAGCTTTGCAATCAGTCCTCAAGTTTTTTTTTAAATACTTTTATAAAGTACAACATCAGATACAGTAAGAGCTGTGCAATCGGTCAGAGTTTTTTTAAAAATAGTTTTTGCTTTTTATTTATTTACAGAGATACAAAAAATGAACAAACTTACCATCCTCATCACTGGGTGTAGATGATGTTTCATCATCTTCATCATCATCACATGTATCATTTCCTTTATCTCTATAATAATGAAAATAATATGATATTTAGTAAGGAAAGAATAAAATTTGGTGTTTTAACATCTTGTTAATACAATTAACTATCAACTTTCTTCAGAATTTTTAATTTTATTTCACCACATTTACTCATAAACAGTACTGAAATATAAGAATCAGTGTACATTTGATGTAAAAAAAACTCCGATAATCCAGAGGTGTCGAGACGAAAAAAATTGTCTTCAACTTACTTGCTTTCAACAATACATTTTTCATAAATTGTGCCTCCATCATTAGGAAATATTTCCTCCTGATGTATGATAATGGTTTTAATGATTTCATTGACGCTACTCTGATAAGAGACTTGATCCCTATCTGGAGGTATTGGTAGTAAAGTTGGTCCGAAACATATAGCTAGATTATATGGATCCATCATACTCTCATCACTATACTCTGATATACTGAAAGTAACATACAAGACATTGGAATAATAAATATACAATTATTATACAGAACTTGAAGTTTTAAGTTACTGAAATGTGAATTTCATGTAAATTAATTTAGAGATAAATATCAGTTCATTATATCTACCAAAAGCAACTTAAATATAGAATGCATATGGGATTATATGAAATGGCATTCAATGTTCAAACCACAAAACTTGATAATTCTTTATTTCCGATCAGCATACAGTTGTTTTAAAAGTTTAAAGAAAACTAAAATAAAATTCAAAACTGCGTTTGAAGAGAAACGTGTTAAATCCTTCAATGAGATTCTTTGTAAATTTATGTAAAAAACAGTTATTTTTCATAAGGTGAATATTAAATTGTACTTCCATAAGTGTCAATTATAATATGCATGAAAAGTTATCGCTAAGTTTTCATAACTATTATCCTTGTTGCAGTGTAAGTTTTGTTATGTGTAAAAATAAAGTGAACTTACTGATTAAGATGAGCGAATAGATATCTCATAACAACTATAACAGATCTAGGTAAACCACTTAATAAATATTTAATACGTTCTACACGAGCTACCATATCTTCTTCTCCTGTAACAAATAAAATAATTTTAATTCTGTGTCACATCAACTAAGACTCAACCTGAGAGAAAACCTAGAAACAACAATTTTTTTTTTCCAATGATACATTCCACCTCAATGGACACTTTCAGTTTGTAACTTTTTTCAACCAACAGAAAGATATATCATTGGTGAAGTGTCAAAAGGGAGTATCTAAGAATTTCTAAAGATTAAGAAATAGAACCTTTTGCATTTAAAAATTTCCACAAATCAAGATACAACATTTGGACACATGATACCCAGAACAGTTCTAATTGGCGTAGAGGCACACAGCTTAGACAGAAATGTGCATATTAATTGGGAGATTTTAAAAATGCAAAAAAGTGTATTTGACTAATTTCCAGAGATACAATCTTTTGACACTTCACCGACGATATACTAGGACTGAAATCCTTGTGTATAATATATATATGTCTCTTATCATGGTCCATGTTTCATTGAAAGAATCGGAAGGAAGAATGTTGAATGTATTTATAAAACTTACTTGAACAGCTAACTAACTCATCAAAGAGGTGTAAAGGGAAGAGAGGCTCTCGTAATTCACGGAAATAAAGTTTTAATACTCCAGCTACTGAATTAATATCACTGGCATCTATAGTATCTACTAAGGGATCATCACCTGAAATTTACAATAATAAAGTACTGAAACACTCTATACCATGTATTACTGTACAAAATCTCACTAGAAGGGAAGCTACTGCCAACTCTAAAATTGTAACACAACAGGCAGATTTATCAATGTAAAACATCTCGTTAATTCTTTATGCTGTTTATTTTGGATTAACTAGTAACTTTATGAACAATAGTGGGTGTTGTAGATTTGTTTAGAGGTATGTAATAATCAATGTGTTCAGCTAATAATTCTTTGAAAATCTGTTTTATGTTTTATTTAAATGGCTTCTAGGCCTATGTTTTCACCATTAAATCACAATGAATTGCTAGACACAAGGAGAAAAGCGTAAAACATACCACTTTCAAAAGATGCCTTAAAACCGTTAATTTCTACAATAGATCCAGATACTCGAAATATTCCTTGATGATGTAATCCTGAAATATACAATTGATGTCAACATTATCACCTGTACGAGTTTAATTTCATCAACTGTAATAAAGTTCTACATACCAATATTCTTCCTGTTATTTAAGATCTATTTAATATATTCAACCCAAGTTTACATATATTGTTTTTCATTTTGTATATTAAAGTAATGATGCATCATTTGCATTTTCCACTAAAAAATATCAAATTTCTCACAGCTTAGTCCACACTAATACATACTCAGATCAATTATTTAACATGTATATAAGAAAACAAAATCAAAATACAATTGTATACAATTCAACATATATTAATGAAATGAAATGAAATGGGGTTTAACGTCCTACTGTTCTGCTCCTAAACTGGGCTAATGAAGACTGTCGTACACCATACAGTGTGCTATGAGGTTAATTTTGCTCGGGCAGCGGCGCTACAGCCTATTCTTATATCAAATTCCACCAAGGGATCTTTTACGTGCACACCCATATATACACGGGACCTCAGTGTTTCGTCCCATTCGAACGACTAGACAGCTGTCCTTGTCATGCCCTCCGTCCTGCATCACTGACAAGGGGAAAGCATGCCGGAAAATCTGGATGAACTTTCTCGGCCAATGCAGGGATCAAATAATCAAGCTTTCACAATATTATAGTTTGCAAGAGATCCCTGTGGGCTAAATTACACATCGTTACCTTAGGTAGGGATTTAGGAATATATATATATAATAATAATAAAAGTTTTAGATTATCTTACCATATAAATTAATAATTCGAATACAACTTTTGATAATCAGAGGAATTTCTTGACCTGAAGCTTCAACAAACTCTTCTAAACTTCCACCAAATAATTTCGGTTGACCAACATTTGGTGTTCTACCTATTCTACGTTTGACAGGTTTAGGTGGCAAAGATGGTGGCCTGGAAACAAAAAAACAACATAAAAATAAAGTCATAGTGAAAATATTTTAAACTTGCATACTCTCAGTTGATCAATGAAACAAAACTATCCACTTGACATATTTCCTTTCTCAACCACACTATATCATTTTATACCAATTTGTTTAACCCTTTGAATTTGCGGGGGGTTGGATGGCTGAATGGTTAGCGTGCGCGCGCTGTATCATAAAGTCTGTCATTGAGTCGACTGGCGTGGTTTCGAATCCCCGGTTGTACGTGGCAAGGAGTAGGGTCGCCTGTCCAACCTCGTGGGTTTTCTCCGGGTCCTCCAGTTTCCTCCCACTGCTAAAGACCCCTACACGCAAGCGAATTATGTAAATAAAATTAAACCAAATGTTAGTCCCAAAATGACCTAGTTTGTGTCGAGTGGACGTTAAACCCCATTTCTCTCTCTCTCTCTCTTTGAATTTGCAAATTTTGAATCCAGGGGAAAAATAAGCAACCATCTCATCATTCTGCTGCTGATAATGGTTTCAAAGGGTTAAATGAAATTTCACAATGTTTTTATTTTTCTGTTAATCTTTTATAATAATTTAATCTTACCGGCTATTTGAATTTGATTTTTCATATGGAGATAGAATATTATCTCCTAGTGACTTCTGTATAGCTGATTGTTTGGACTGGAGACGTGATAACCGGTTACAACTTAATGTATATTCTCGAAATTTCTGAAATAATAATTAAATTAAAACAATTTTATACAGTCAATCATTATTACTGATGTCGAGTTACATCTCTCAACTATTGTATCCACTGGTTTTTTTTTTACCAACTATAAACAGAAACAGGATCAATAGGTATTGACAAACATTCGAAAGTTGTTTGAATCACAATGAGTAGAAATGCATAAAATTCCAACTGTCAAGGTTTTATGTTATGGGCAAACTTATGAGGACAGACCTCAGTTTTTTGTTCCATCCAAACAACTTGTCAGGTCCTCCATCTCAAATCTACTAGGGAAAACCATGCTGGACAATCCTGAGCAAGTATCTCAGCTAACACCAGGATTGATTCTGGGACCTCCTGGATTGTTAGCCAGCATCATGAAACCACCGAATACGTATACTTACAGATAAATAATAACTCTCTGTTTCTAACATACTGGCTTTCTGTTTAGCATTTTCTTGTGGTGATTTAACCGGTGTATTATCATCTATAAAATATTTACTGACATCATAATCCTTCTCTTGTGTTGTTTCAACTAATGCCTTCTCTGTTGTTTCTAATGTCTTCCATATCTGATGTCAAAATAAGGTCAATTTTATTTGAAAATCAGAAAAAGCAATATCAATGTTGATTTGGAGAATGTATTCCTAAAGAGGCATTATATTAGAGCTAAATCTGTCTGTTGCAGGTATTTTCGTCTAGCTTCTAATGGTATTTAAATTATCATTTAGACATTCATTCCCATGAAAAGCCCATAATCAACTGTCTAGATCATCTCATGGCTTAGATATTGAGTGAATTAGACAATGGTGAAAGGAAATGGTAATTTCGAGACATACCTCATCATTTTCCACCTTGAGACAATTCAATCTATCACAGATACCTTGATAACGCTGAACCAAATCTTCTTGAACTGGTTTCTGAGCACTTATTTGACGCACCTAAAAAATCCATTTATTTTATACATTCATACTGTTCTCAGTCTCCTTAAAGAAGAGAATGCCTTCCAATTTAATTCAATAGAAGAAGCTTTTATTGGATGCATTAAAAAAAAAAAAAAAAAAATCTCTTCCACTTCTCCAGCAAAAGGCAGAAACTACCATTTGAATATATCTCTCTTGACGTTCCTAGAAATTCTTCTATATTCACAACGACCAATGATGAAATTGATAGATGCAAGGGAAATAACTCCTAAATACATTCACATCTTAAATTTTTGACAGTTTTGTCTGAAATAATTGAACAACTACAACTACAACTTCTTTTAGTAGTATTTAGGCAATAAATATGTGTAAGAAGACATCAACTGGGATAAAAAGAAATATCACCTACCTCATCACCTTTAAAAGGTTGAAATTCAAATTTTTTAGGCAGCATAAAAACAGAATTGTTGAGTTCCATGAATTTCTGTTTATCCGCCCGGGAATCGAGATCAGATATACATTTATTGAGAGAATCTATAGCAGAAATATGCGTTTGTTTTAAATGTTCATGAACTGATAAATACATCATCATAGTACGACCACATGAATTATGATAACCAAAATCCATGCACTGAAATAAAAAATGGTTTTAAATTAAGTGGCATATTCACAGATGTATAGAAAGCGAAAACATGTTTTATCTTAGCTAAAGGAGAACTCTTGTCCAGCTTTGTAGCCAGCCAAGGCAGATTTTTTTAGTATTAAACAGTTTCAACTATGCACAACCATACGTGCAAATTGCCTTTCAATTAACGATCGAAAACATGGAGTGTAATATCATGAGAGGAACTGTCAATCACTGTAAACAAAAATAAACAGTATGCTATAGTAAAAACAAATTATAGATATGTTCTCATCCTATATAAATGATGGAAATGTTTGGATTCCTATTCTTATCAAGTTTAAGGGATCTTATCTTTAAGTAATGATAATAAATATATCATTATGAGGTAACATACATGTATGTTTATCGTCAATATACAATTACCTATATTATGTGAAAATATACAATGTTCTTTACTACAAATAGAAATAATATACAGGGGGTACTTTTTCATCAACACAGCATATCACTCTTGATAAATATCCATGTGAAATGCGTCTTGAGAAATTAACAAGGAATTTCAATTTCTTAATAAAGAGTGCTGATGGGAACATGTTTCCACTTCTTAGGGCCACAAAATATGCATGAAATTGCAACTTCCCTGGGAAACATGGAATCGGGAAAGTTCACAAGACTGAGCCCTGTATATGTTTAGACAATATGATATGCTGCCTTGTTGTAATATGTTAAGTAGTATGGATGATACTTGAAAACATGTATAATATTACCAGTAAACATGTTCTGTCTGTAATTGAAACTTCATATTTAACCTTTTCTCTTATATAATTTGTAGATTTTTCCGCGCATTCATAAAATGATTTTTATAAAATGATACAAAAGAGTTGTGTGTGAAATGGAATTTAATACATATAAAGGAATTAATTTACTCTTTACCAGACAAAACGGCTGCAAAGCTAAGTATTTGAAAGCTGACACGTCTCATGTTGGAAGCAAAGAGAGAAACAGCCTTCAAAAGTCTGAAAGTCATTCTGGGACTAAAATATGGTATGTATAATATTGCTCAAACACAAGTTTATTTGAAAGTGGCACTGCCTATTTGGACAGACAGCTCAAAAAGAAACCCAAACCACTAATATGCCTTTTTTGCATGAATATTGCTTTTAATTCATATTTAATCCCTTCTGCCATGAAAAATTAATTACTAGAAGCGTAAAGTTTACATTACTTACATCCATGAGATCTGATATATCATCTGAGAAATATTTACTGATAGCTGCATTCGCGGCTTCTATACTCAACAGATATTCATTACGAGCTTTCAGGGCTTTTAATTTATTTTCTGAATACTTCACTTGTCTCTGAAAAATATAGAGAGGAGCATTAAATCATATGAAAGAAAATGGGGTTTAACATCCTACTGTTCTATACCAACTGGGCTAATGAAGACGGGGATATGCCATGTAGTGTGCTATGAGGGCAATTTTGCCCGGACGGCAGTGCTAAGTCCTACTTTTATCTTGAAATGAACTGTCAAGGGTTCTTTTAAGTGCATGCCAATGTGCACACACACACAGGCCCTCAGATTTTTGTCCCATCCCAATGACTATACCTTGTTCCTTGTCAGGACCCCCATCCTATAACACTGACAGGGAACCACGCCTGAAAATTTCTGATAACAGTTTCTCGGCCAAGACCGGGATCGAACATGGGATCTCCAAGTTAGTGAACCAACATCTTACTACTCATGAAGCCAACACAGCTCACTTATATGAAAAAAGGTATGTATGAATTTAAGCCCAATTAAATGGATCACCTATCGTTTCAAATTGAATGGGGTAAGTCATGTCAAAACCAATAGTTTGGTTATTTTGAGACTAACAGGCAGTAAATTTTATTAATGTGGATTGGTGTGAGAATTTTTCCAGCAGTGTTTCCAACTATTCTTTTTTGAATTTTAAAGTGCAAATGGCTCTTTTACGTGCATGCCAATGTGTACACAGGTGTACCTCAGTTTTCGTCACATTCGAACTTGAAGACACACTCTAGTTGTCAGCCTAGCAGGCACCTATAGTGAAATGTTCTTGATAACAATCAAGAATACATACTGTAGTATGTACTGTTCATATCAAGTTATATTTTCATAGATTGTGATCCATTTAATTTGACAGAAGATTACTATTCAATGGATAAATCCTGAACAAGCCTCTTCCCAATATTATAAACCCTAAATGTGACAGCATTATTCTTAAATATAATTTAATTATGCAATGTTAAATTTTAACATGTCTGAAACATAAACTGCTTAGTACAACATAATCATTACAATATTGCAATTGCACAACATAACAAACTTTTCCTTCATGAGTCATTTTCTCTGCCTAAATAAAAAGATAATTAATTTATTTAAATAATCTTGGGACATTATGAATTTATTTGGTGTCATGCTTGAGGCAGGAGTCACCAGGATTTTCTTGCAGTTTCTACAACCATTGATACCAATGCTGATTTATGGAATCAAAATGTCTTCATGGTACGGTCATTATGACTAGATTTTTACAGACAGTATGACATGACATCTTGTGTAAAGTAAATTACACATGAATCATGTCTCTTTGTACTGCCTAAAACAACAGATTTGCGACTTTTTTTTATACACAAAAAGTCGACTTGAGTGCAACATTGTCTATTTTTACAAACCTACAGGGATAAATCTGCATTTAATGTACATTTTCTAAATTTTTTTCTGTATTTTTATATCTTAGAAATGTGTTTTCCAGATTCTATCCTCATATAAAACAAGAAAATTGACATGTACTTCTCGGGAAGTAAATGAATTATTATATGGACTTTTTCATTTTTGTTATTTTTTTTTGGTGATTTTTTTTAAAATGATATATTTACTGATCATTTGTTTATATAAACAGAACAATTTTACTACCAATCTGCTGGTTTAGGGATCGAATTATTTACCTAAACATTTAACCTCATCGGAAGATATCTTTAATGAGTTAGCTAATTAAATTATTTCTAATGGAAATCCGCCCTTTCGGGGTTAAAATGAGTTAGCCAATTAACCATGAGAAAACACATCTTTAATGGAAATATTTTGCCACCCAAAGCCCATTTAAAAAACAAAAGAACACAAAATAAAATGGCAATGGAATCTTTCATATAATTTAATTGTTATAGTTCAAAGGTATGTATTTCTATTTGTCCAAGGTAATTATCTTTTTCAGACATTCACTTCTGAAAGAAGAAGAAAATTCAGGAACTCAGTTTCTTTTTCTTTAAACACAAACACTATCTTTTTCAGACATAAAACTCTTATACAAAAAATGAAAGCAAACTTATCTCCTATGAGATGCATGCTAGACGTATCAAGTCTTATATTAATGATGCGTTGATGTTAGAAATGTTTTTAAAGTGTGATTCAGGTGTATCAGTTTTATCTCCAGATCTACCCAGAAGAGTTGAGATTCACACAGTATATACAAGAATATTCTTCACTTCATGTGTTTCATAAAAGTTAAGATGATTGAAATGTATGATTCATATGGATGAACTTTATCTGCTGTGAGTAAGTGATATGGCGCAAAAATAGTGTTAAGATATTGAAGTTAGAACATACCAACATGAACATATGTTATATAATTTTATCTTTTTTCCTTATGTTTATAGTAAAATATAATCCTCTTATATACAGTACTACTATATTTTTATCACACTGAACAATATGTGCTAATATGCTTCCATATTGCATTAACAAAGAAATCTGACACATCATATTAAGTGTAAAAACCAGGATAATTTGGGGTAAAAAGACTTTTTTCCAAGTCCTGTGTAAATGTCTGAAGAAAATATGTTTCAGTTTCCCATGTAGAGTTGGCCGTAAATCCTCAAATTCCAAACTACATGTAACTACATGCTTAAATAACCATGTCTATATATTTCCTGATATTATAGCAGTTAATGAAATGAAATGAATCAATATTAGAAACTAAGGGATTTTATTCCTAAAAGGCATTTAACATTTTTCTGTAAACATAATAAATAGTTCACAAAAATTTCAAATTGCAGATTATTGATATCTGAAATCAGGGCCATCACAATACAATTGTTTTCTTAAAACTATTAATTCAAATTGTTCACAAAATCCTCAATTGAAAGTTATTGATAATGACCGATGTTTTAGGTCATAATGGTAATATCATCTTTCATATATGATATTATATTCTTATCTTTATGGATTCTGGTGCATCCATCTCTTAATGATAACTTATAAACCTGTAAACTGTTATCACTATAGTAGGGTAGTTAAGATGGACAGATTTATCATGATTTAGTAAACTCTACATCCTAGGAATAAGACTAATTGATGTCATCATGTTAGTTATAAATCAAACTTATCTAATATAACACTAACCTAATTAATATATTTTTGAAGATAATATTTTCTTAAAAAAATTTATTGCTACTTATATCATAGATAAAATCGTTTCTGTGATCCATGATAACAAAATTTTCAAGATTTTGTACCGATCAGATATTGACATTGTAAGAGATAGATGGAATTTGATGTTCACTCCAGACACCTAGCTTATTCTGGGACCAACATATGGTATATCTTTATTTCATGAATCTACACGAGTGCCACACTCTAGCAGTGGGGCAAAATGGAAGATCCGTTGGAATAGTCATATTATCTCCCCCGCAACACCTTGTATAATTCAGCCTTATAACCCCATATTTGTTTTTTTTAATCTACAGAGTATCATGGAAAGCTGTATCTCAGATTCTGGTTCAAATTAATCAAAATTAATCAGAGTACCATATGGCAGTTTTGTATGAATCATATCAGTTAATGAGAATGTAATTAAATCGAAATCAATGAGTTTCTATGGTTTATGAGTTATATTATTGAAACCTAATTTATTAATTGCGTGTATTAAACATATTAATATTTCATTGCAGTAAAATCTAAGGATTGGATACAAGTTTTGAGAATATTATTTATATCATAGTAAAATTGAAAAGAAAATTGTAAATAAAGTGCCAATTGAAGAACCTGTTTCTACAAACACCTGTTCTAAAATACTGTGAGAAAAACTTTAAATCATATCAACTCTAGTTGAGAAATTTATTACAGATATGACACTATACTGTCAACATTTTATAGATGGTAAAAATTAATTTAGAACTGGTCGAATTTTATCAATTTGGAGTTTGGACAAATATGTCTTCTTGTAAGATTACATTTAATTGGTAACCCTAGATATAAACCTTTAATTGGAAGGTCCTCTACTAATTACTACATGTATCTTGTATAATAAATCATATCAAATTAAAAACATGAACTACATTAAACTGAGATACATCACGAAAAGGTCTAGTTTGCAATAACATAATGTGATATTAATTTAACATATATTTATGTCTCTGATTCTTGTATATTTATCATATTTCTTACATCATCCACAGATTAATCAACTGTTGTTATGAGCTAATTATATTACTATCTATAATGTTTATGTCTCTAGTCATGATACACCATGATATAGAACCTAATAGATAAAAGGATATTATACTCATATGTTATATATCTCCCAGGAACCAATTATCAATTTTCACACGTTTCTTAGACTCTTATCTAAAACCTCTTTAGACTACCTTTAATATAATATTTTACTCTGATGAGAAATGAGACTGCAGTGAATATAACAGTACAGTACATCATAGTTACAGATGTGCTAAGTCTTCACATCACCAAATGCCATCCATACACTTTAATGGCATCTGTGTTTATAACATAACCCTCTCTCTTTCAACTTATTCAAAAGAAGACCTTACTTTTGTTTCTTTTTTATGTTATAACTTTACACCAACTGTATTTATGTTTTACCTTTACACTTATTGTATTTATGTTTTTTAAACTGTTTCTGACATAACTAGAATTATTTATTTACTTATCTAATCCATACAACCTAACAAAAGAAAGCAATAGGACATTTGAGTTTGAGGTATTAGATATATTACTATGTCTGGATGATATCAAATAAAGATAACATTTCACAGACTACAGCACTTGCATCAATATATCTTAAAGGTGTTGAATCAAGTTAGATATTATCTTCAGGAGGACAGTTGCTTCATCTTCAACAAATCAATTATAGGTTGTTTTTGCATCTCAAAGGTCTTCAATAGAGCGGAAATACAAAAATACGATATTTGTTAAGTTATACCATTGTAAATGTTTCGTGAACTGACATTACCAAATTGGATATTGCTCCTGGCTATTTGGATCATTTCATGAAACTATCTAGGTTCATTCTAACAATGTTGTACGTTTATGGATGTGAATTTTTTGGGGGACACAATTAGGTTTTGAACTGACTTCATGTTAGATCTAGTGTGAAATAAAACTGTCAGACGACAGGTAAGACTAATAAAATGAGGGATTCATCCATCAAAGAATTAATTCCCCATTTTTTTTTTTAAAAGTTACAACTCACCTTATCTGATTGTCGTTCTAATCCTTTTAATTTACGACTTGTTGTATTCTTACCAGACAATTGTTGCTCAACTTTATTTTTTTGAGATTCAACATTGCGTAATTTTTGTTCAGCTTGTTTGGCCTCTGATTGGTAAGCATGGTATGTTTTCATTGCCTGCAAAATTCAGTAAGAATAGTTCATGTTTATACAGAATTGAAGCAGGGAATAAGAATGGGATCAAATTTTGAGCAGGTCACGTATTGTTAACTAGAACATTTAGTTGCTCTTCTTCTTTCAGGTCAACAGAATTTACATTTTATCTAGAAAGACGGAGCTCAATGTTTGGAATACATGTAGACGAATACGCACACATTCCTGTTCAATCCCAGAAATGGAAGTAAGGCAAGAAAAACTCAACAAGGCAAATACAATTTTAAGATATTTTGGCTCATGGATAGCCACATCAATTTAAACTTTTGCGTCCTATTTCTTGGGGAAAATATGAACAACCTAAAAACAAAAAGTAATACTTTGCTCTTCTTTAAAGAGTTGTTCACAGGACTTGAGTTGTCTATTTATCAAGACTCAAAGGATTAAAAAAATAATTTGGTTTGTGCTAGGCTATAAATTTTCATGGCTTAAAAATTAGTTTAATTGTACCTTTTATGTTACTGTTAACAGTTTTAATATTCTACTTACACTTTGTAATTCATTTAATGCTTTGAGCATATCTTGATGTGATTCAGCACCAATATCTCGACACTGTAAAATTAAACATACATGTATCAGTTAAATAGCTATTTCACAGTCTCACTGAATGGCATTCCAGTTCTAGATCTCATAGCCATGAAAATGTTAGTATGGTACAAAAGGACACAGGACATCAATTTGTTGTTTCATCCAAACAACTAGATGCTTTTTCCTTGGGGCCCTCTTTTCCTGCACCGTTGACAAGGGGAAACCTGACTGAAAATCCAGAGGAACTTTCTCTGCCAACATTGGGATATAACCCAGGGAGTGGTGTAGATGCACACCATTTTCAGCTCTCAACCATTTATGTAAACACATGAGTTGGAGCTCTATTTTTCTGCCTCAGAGATACATGGAGGAATTTTGTGTTGGAGCTCTACTAGATTATTTAAAACATGTTTCTTTGATAATGCACCATACCATACCTTTTTAAATATGCGTTGAGAATTTTCCATCACTTCATTTAATCTGTTAACCACTTGATTACTGTAGATTTCTCCAATCTTCTGATGATCCTGGCTTTGTTTACGTGTTATACCAAGTAAATGTTTCCAACACGCATACGTAGAAAATGTTGCCCATTGCTCTTGTCTGAAAATATACAAGGTATAAATAATTTCTGAATCCAAAAGATACATTACTGACACATTAATTAAACCAATAATTATTATCCTTTATCGGTATTAGTGCTCTTTAAAAGAGCCAAATCTCTTTGTTTTATTTTCAAAGTATTTAATTGTAGAAATCTGGTTGATATGATGCGTTATTTTGATTCATGATGTCGATACAATTATTTGTGAAAATTGAATTGTTGACTAATTTTTGTTTTATGAAACAATAGAAAAGGAGAAATTTATAAAATTTATAATGTTCTGTATATTGTCCAATTTTAGTATAGAATCATAATACTGAACATTGTTACAATTTTTTTTTAAGACACCTTATATTCACATGGACAATGGTCACCTTGAGGGAGCCTATTTGATCCACTTGAAGAGTACATGCTTGTAAGTCAAGTTAGACAACTATAGTTAAATTTATTCTTTAAGTGGCATTTAGCGATCAGGGAACAAATTAACAGAACACAGTTTTTATGGGATACAATCACTAGTTTATTCTAAAAGCACGACGTTTCGACAAGTATCCTCTTATCGTTATCAAGCACAAATGACAATTTAGTAAACTTGTGGACAATATATATGAAATTAATAAGAAACCATCTGCATGGATTAAGAATAACAGTAATAGAAATAATCAAGGTGTAAAGGATATTTAACAATAACAACAAACATAACAAGGTAATTAGCTACTAATAAGCACTGATACTGCATGATTAGAGGGTTATTAACAGTTATGAAGCCCTTCAAAAGGGTAGCATGTATGGATAGTGGGAAGTTGATAAAGCACAGGTAGTGAGGCCATGTGCATGAAGTTAAATAAGATTGCATTATATAAGTACAACTATAACAATACACAATTTGTACTAAGAAAACAAGGACAAAAATCCTCTAAAAATATAAGGGACATGTTGGGAGAATCTATAATATCGAAAATTTATTAATCAGATGGGGTGGGGGCGGGGATTTTAGTACAACCAAAGATGGCTTAATAGTTAAATTATGTTGTGCATCTTAATTACATCATCATATGCCCATTGACAAAAGGATAACGGAACATAAGTCCAAAGCCGCTACTAATAACTCAGCCATAGCGGAACATCTCCATAATCACCCACAACACAGAGTTAAATGGAATGAGGTCCAGATACTAACCGCCAACCAACAGAACAAGAAAACCAGGAAGATCCTAGAAGCTATAAATATCAGAAGACATTCACCTGAACTCAATAGGGACTTAGGGCTCTACATCCCCAGGGCATATGATGATGTAATTAAGATGCACAACATAATTTAACTATTAAGCCATCTTTGGTTGTACTAAAATCCCCGCCCCCACCCCATCTGATTAATAAATTTTCGATATTATAGATTCTCCCAACATGTCCCTTAAATTTTTAGAGGATTTTTGTCCTTGTTTTCTTAGTACAAATTGTGTATTGTTATAGTTGTACTTATATAATGCAATCTTATTTAACTTCATGCACATGGCCTCACTACCTGTGCTTTATCAACTTCCCACTATCCATACATGCTACCCTTTTGAAGGGCTTCATAACTGTTAATAACCCTCTAATCATGCAGTATCAGTGCTTATTAGTAGCTAATTACCTTGTTATGTTTGTTGTTATTGTTAAATATCCTTTACACCTTGATTATTTCTATTACTGTTATTCTTAATCCATGCAGATGGTTTCTTATTAATTTCATATATATTGTCCACAAGTTTACTAAATTGTCATTTGTGCTTGATAACGATAAGAGGATACTTGTCGAAACGTCGTGCTTTTAGAATAAACTAGTGATTGTATCCCATAAAAACTGTGTTCTGTTATAGTTAAATTGTTACCTTGCTATATGATACTATGTTAATATTGACAAACCTGTCGGGGTTGAAAGGTTAAAGACACTTGGATTACAGTAGCCTACTCATATAATACATATGGTCTAACTATTCATTTCTACTACTGGGGTATTTGTGTTTGCTTCCACCTTTGGTGAAATGAAATGAAATGAAATTGGGTTTAACATCCTACTGTTCTGCTCCGACTAGGATTATGAACAAGGTCATTTTGCCCGGACAGTTTCACTACGGCCTACTAACTGCCAAGGGCTCTGTTACGTGCAGCTAATGTATACACAGGACCTCAGTTTATCCTCCGCCCTGTTCATGCAAACGACTATACGTTGACCCTTGCCAGGCCCTCTGTCCTGGACCAATGACATCCCATTAAAATCTTGTATGTAGGGTGTTTTTTTCCAATAAACATGCCGATTCAACTATGAAAATACATTACTGATGTGAGCTCTATCAAATTGTCAGTGTAAAGGGGAAAACAATGTTACATCTATATTGGCTTGAGGTGACATTTCTAGATTCTAGCAGTAGTTTCCAAAATTTAAGGTAAATGTCTGCAATACTTTTTCATCTATGACGAAAACATTTTAATATCTAAAACCATAGTTTAAATAAGAATTAGTGGTTTGTTAAGAGTCAGTAGCTGGGTTATTAGAAGAAGGTGAGTGTTGGGAGGTCAAGAGAAATTCCCCTCTCTATTATATTATCAAAACTAATCAGCTCTTAAACCCAAGTACACGCCACCAAATACAATCACAACTGTAAATTATTGGCAATGTGGAGATCAATAAACTGGCTACTGTATTCTGGTTACAGAATCAGGAAATAGACTATTCCCTCAGGTCCGGCACCAATATTAAAACTTCGAACTCATTTCCCATTCAACAAATTTCTGTTAAATAAATTGTCTTCCAGCAGACAGCTACAAATTTAATTTTGGATAATTTTTATGTCACCTGCGTCAGGTTATGACAAGAAATACGCGATTGTAAAACTAATTCATGTCTTCAAGGAATTGCTTCCCACATATATCAAGACTGGTTTTATAAAGACTGAATGTTACAGATACCAACAGAAATATTGTAGTGTCTAAATTTAATATAATTTTAACAAATACTGGACTGAAAAAATTCTTGGAGTCTTCAAGGAATTTCAGTCTGTATTGATTAAAGACAAAATTCTTTAGGGATAAGAATGTAACAAATTCAAAAGAATAAGACAATAACCTATATAGAATTAATGTTTGCTTTGAATAACCAATCTTCACAATATATACCGGATATTAGAAACTGGGGTTCACACTTAAAGTAGCTAAGTCTCTAAGTCAATATCACCCAAAATCTTCGACATTGAAAACACGATTTATTTGTCGGTTTAAATCAACATTTATCTTGTGATCTTACCGGGAAAAGATGGCCTTCTGAAATCCAATATTTAAAGACAAAATAAACATTTTACAATTGGTACACGAATCGTGTACCATAATGCGTTTCAGCGCTATTTGTAATAAGGGACTCGACAAACGAGGCTAGGCATATTCCACAAGTCATGTCAAACGGTAACGCTATATTCTTATCTGGAGAGCATGCCCAATAAATGTTATCGGCGTAGACTGGAATAACCAGACGCTAGAGATTGAAATTTGATTGAGAATACTGGCCTATTTCGCCGAACCTAACTGATTAGAAATTACAGTAAAAACAGAAACGATTGAATGTAAATCAATTTATATACATTCATATTACATTATTGTATGCGTTGCGACCCATTTGCGTCAATTTCTAGGTCCCAAATATTAGCGACTTAGCTCCTTTAAATATATATTATCAAAAGCTGAAGTTACTGGGTTGATGGTAATCTATAGGAAAAATGGCCACAAGCAGGGTCAATATTAGCCTCTGTTACTACAGATAGCAAGCACAATATACATTGCATAGCCTGCAAATTTTAAAGATAATTTCCACACAGAGTGCAAGTGGGGATGGAGCAAATTCAGTAAGCATAAAAACTTACTTGGATTTTTCAGCTCTGTGTCTTGTAATCATCTGTCGTACAAGTTTGTCTAAATTTTTTGAATATTCAATTTCCACCTCAGCCCTTCTCTTGAAGAATTCCTGTAGTTCGGCAACAATGGCTACCTGGACCTCGAGTTTTACCTCTAATCCTTTTAACTGATCGCATAGTTGCTGTCTGATGTCTGAAAATATAAATTAACATTCAAATAAATCCAATGGTTCTTTTTTTTGTAAATTTTGTCAACTAGGAGGTATTGCAATGGGTCCTAAAAAGGACGAATAAATGCTGTGCCATGCAGTGTAAATGCATACTCTTTAGCAAGGATATTCAATTCATTGGGGTAGATACAAGCAGGATCAAAGAAAGGATCTGTCATGAACTCATGTTACTGGAGCTACATGTATTTTTACTTTAAACAGTGTCAGCCTTTCTTTCGAAATTTATGTATATATGTGCATGCATGGAATTTATTTTTAAAGAATCCAGAAAGGGTTATTGGGTTGACAACTGTGAAATGTATATTGAATTGTTTGGTGCTATTGTTTCATGTCAATGATAATGTTGTAGCTTCTTAGTACATTAGCCTTTATTTTGTCCATGTGATATGTATTTTCAAGATGTTTAGTTCTACTAAAACAATAGCTTAACAGTTAAAGCTAACTTAATATTAAATCAGCTGGTCAATTCAACCACATGCTTGAAGGTCTTCATGTTGTGTTAACATTGGATGCAGTATGAACTGACTAGATGGGGTTAGATATCCGCTATCATACTGCGCGTATTGAAGCCTGAAATAATGCACCTGTCACATATATTGTCAGGAATTCAGGTTTTAAGGCACAATCCTTCTGGTGATGGTCATTGCATCTGGCACAAATTTGTACCCTTTTTCAGTCTTTTTTTTTATTTTTACAAGTTTTACTGGTGCCTATGTTTTGTCATGTACATCTAAAATGATTATTATTTCCAGTTCCCCTGATACTGTCCACAAATGTTCCCAAAAAACAAAACATTATGTGTGAAAACAATGATCAGGTTAGTCGTTTAATAAAACAAAAGATTAATTAACAGATAATCCCGGGTTGTTATTTTTACAACTACTACTCACGGGATTAGCGGGGGTGTTAAAAAGAACGACAAGATGGTATCATTCAACAATGGCCATTGAATGGGCGATATTTTGTTGAATTTATTAGTAAAATATTGACCGCTGGCCACGTTAGAGGAGTGGCCGTTGAATAAAGAGATGAAACAACAGAATTTTTACGGGAGGAATTTATCGTGACCGCTTACAAGGAGATGTCGCTGAATAGGAGTGGCTGCTCATACAGATTTTACTGTAGTTTGAAAAAGTGATTATTACTGGAGCACTTATCTGTAGCATACTTAAGCTAGTATTTGCTAATCCCTTTGATCATGTGGTGTCTGCAAGCATTTCAGCTATATTAACATTGGATGCATCACATTCTTAGTGTTATTAGTACCAGAGCATTATTTATTAACTGTTTTATAGTACTTAATATTGATTAACAATAAAAATGATGGCATGTTATACTAATGAGGTTCCTGATAGTAATTCAGTGCCGGGGCTAATTTCTAACAATAGGAATAATAAGAAAATAATGGAAAGTTGACATTTACTATCAAAATGTTTTGCCAGAATTACCATATTATTTTTCAGAAGCTGATGGGATAAGATGCTAATATCAGAATCATTAGAGTGTTTTATTTAGTTTTTATTTGTTTAATCAAAGACAATAAATCTGTTAATGGAATTGTGTATGTATAGTAACAGAGTAAGCTATTTATGGTAGTGGTAGGTATATTTGGAATTGGATCTAGACAGGTTTACCAAACAATCAAATGATGCATGTACCATTTAGTACAGAACAAATGAAGCCTTTGACATGAGAAAGGAGAATGTTTTATAGACTTCAGATTTCATATACATGGAGCAAACACAGACCCCATAACTGAACCTTTTAGTAGTTAGTAAAGGGTTCAAGAGTTCACCACATGTTAAATTCTACTTTCAATTTCTTGCTTCATGTGATGGACACATGTTATGTCCTGTTTATTGACAATTACATGTTTATTTAGAATCTATCAAATAATCTGAATATTTGGACTTCCTGTTACAAAGGTCAACTGTTTCAAGGTTGTTTGGAATCCAATAAACTTTTGATGATGTTGAGAGCAACTAAAGAGTAGCTGGGCTTTAGGCACACCTTCAAATAAATCATTATTATCATTAACCAATTTAAACATACATGAAAACAAATTGTTTGATTTCAAATCTCATATATCCTTTTTTTATGCATGATTATAATACCTCAAAGCTCATTTTCCAAAATTAATTTACTGGAATTTAGTTTGATAAGTATATTTAATTCAAACAACAAAAGAAAATCGTGGATTTCTTATTTTGTCCAAAAAGTGGCAGTGATTAATCAAAGCAACATTATAAATTCCCCTATTGCTAAATAAGGAAAGGATACCGTCAACATTAATACAAATCTCTCTTCCTATTTCTAAATAAGGAACAGATATAGCCAGAATTATTCAAAATCTGCGTGCATTAATGCCTAATCAATGATACTCACGTCAAACTAAGACATTTATACAGACAATAGTGGGTGAACGAGTAGGCGAAGATACATGTCTTATACAAATACTCATATTTCATTGATCATTATAGTCATATGTATGAATGTTGAGGGGATGGGGTTTGTCGGGGGGGGGGGGGGGTCATTATATTAATACTGTCATAAAGTAGTAGATACGGGTTTCTTTAAAATTAATGAGATGTTAATTTGGAAATATTTTAATTATACAGAAAGACTAAATTTGTATTTCATGGATTACCATAAAAAATAGCAGACTGTCAATTAAGAGATCTCAGTTTTCAAGATTCCAGTGCTCTCACAGATTCAAGTAGACTTTAGAATCTTTACAAATTTTAACTTTATACTGATAGAAGAGACATAAATTAACACATGATGTCCAATTCTCATCTATTTAAGCTGTCATCGTGTCATGTCATTTTGAATGGAGAAAGACGAATGGAGTTCAATGTCCACTGATATAAAACGGGTAATTTGGGGAACAAGATATTGTTCAGTTTTATTTCAATAATTTGCTTACACATACTGTAGTGCTTTTTAGCATAGGACCTGGAAAAAATCCACGGGGTTGGACAGGTGATACTACACCTTGTTACATACAAACTGGGAATTAAAACACCACTTGATTCAATTATAGACCTTATGATCTAAAGTGGACCATTTACCCCACCCCCTATATTGAAGGGACCAGTCAGATGATCGCAAAACAGGCATAATGTGTGAGTGCATATAAAGATGCTACATTTTTGTCCATTTAGATTGTTACATCACATAAGAATATGAAACAGGTTGTATTATAAATAACAATATAGTTATTTTAGATCTAATCCATAGTCAGAAATGTGAAATACAACGTAATAAGAATGTAACATTACAATAATTTTGTTCTCTTATTGTTCTCTTAACAGCTAATGAAAAACATTTTTGATGATATTGCGTAGGCTAATTGGTTTAATCAAGTAATCTGACATTTCTTACAAATTTCTGCTTCAGTTTTTTTATTCAACTTTCATCAAGACAGTTTGACTTTAATCTATCTAAGAGGAGTGATTTAGATGTAAAAGTGTATCACTACGCAGATAGTATTGACCTATCACTCGCTACTCGAACTTCTTACAAATCTTCAGCAAATACAAGGAAAATCGTCAAAAATCAATATGTCTACAACGCCTCCCAATTTAAGATATAAAGGCTTCTAAAAATAGTCACAGTATAGAAAGACTCCACTATGTGAGCTACATATACATTAACATTTAAAGACCTAAAATTCAGCTTCTGTATTCTGAATTATTAATAATGAAATTTTATGGCATCAACAAATATTTCAGTCAGGAAGAGCCATCATTGCTCAATGCCAGACATTTTACAAATATTTTGTAGAGGTGTAATAAAAATGAATGAAATGTGGTTTAACGTCCTAATGTTATACTCCAACCATGCTAATGATGACGAGCATACATCATAGTAAGAATTGAGTGAAATTTTGCCCTAACAGCAACTGAATTCCAACAGTTAAGGGTTCTTTTACGTGCATGCCAAGGTGTACATGGGACCATGATTTTTTTTATCCAATCCAAAGAACTACACCCTGTTTCATTGCCAGACACTCCATCCTGCTCCACTGACAACGGAAACCATGCCAGAAAATCCTTGACCAACCTCAGGTTCAAACGACTGGATGTTTCAAATAGTGGGCCGATGCCTTACTTGTTGAGCGACAGAGATGTAGTAAGTTTTACTTGTTTTGTAACACTGTTGTCTTTCTTAAAAAAAGAGGCAAAACAATCATCTTTATCAAGTGGCATTTTTAGTTCCCCAGTGAATTGTTTTCAATCGATTCAAACTATTAAGAAAAATTTGACCAGATGGCAGGACATCTAGTAGAGCCAGGTTATTATAACATCTGTCTCATTATAATTATAGTCATTTATATTTAATACATCTCAAATACTTTTCACACAACATTCTCCTCAATCTAGGAGTTGTCAATTTACTCCCAAATAGGAATATCAGTATTAAAAAGTGCAAAGGTGAACTTCTCAAATAGGAAGTGGTATCAGATATTGTAGAAAAAGTAAACATATTCTGCATCATGAACAGTACCTATCACTTTCAGAAGTGAAAGTTACTGGCCAATCTACAGGCTTAGAGAGTGGAAATTGGAATCTTACAGGAAGAGGCACACAGACTATTAACTGGCTTTTCTATTATAACTGATAGGTATTGCGATTCAGTTGCTGCAATATCATTTGGAAACTGTTGCAGACATTCTAGATCTACTTTCAATTTGTCACAAGATGAAATTGCAATGCCTTCCCACATGTGAAGCAAGTCGGATATTAATGAAATTATAAACTACTATTTCATGTATTTAAAAATATGTGTCAAATGGCTCCCAAAGAAAGGACATCACAGACACAATTGCTTACAATAGTAAATATGTTGTATTGCTGTATGTCATTTAATGCAGTGTTATTCTTCAATTAAAGTCGAGGACATGATCGAAAGGCCATATTTCTGGAGAGAGACAAAAAAAACCCCAAAAGATAGGTTGCCAGGCAACAAAACATACGCCCACAGCAGATTTTTCAAAGTGATCAAGGGCCATAACTTGGGCAGTAATTATCGGAAATCGTTAAAAATCAATAGTCTTCTTCGTCTCATGACCTTACCTTAAACACTATAAAGTTAATCGGATATTAACTTTAGCCTCTAAAGCGTCAACAAGATATTTCAAAGTGATCAAAGGCCAAAACTCTGGTAGTAATTATCAGAAATCATTGAAAATCAATAGGGTTCTTCTTCATCTCATGACCTTAAACACTGTGTATAAATTTAAAGTCAATCAGATATTAACTTTAGCATCTAAAGCGTCCACAAGATATTTTAAAGTGATCAAGAGCCATAGAAATCATTGAAAATCAATAGGTTTCTTCGTCACATGACCTTAAACACTGTGTATAAATTTAAAGTCAATCAGATATTAAATTGAGCGTCCACAAGGAATTGTGGACACAGGACGAATGGGGGCAACGACAATATACAACCACATTTCAATGTGGGCATATAAAAAGAATTTTGAAATATCGATTCAAGTATATTATCTAATTTTTCAATTCTATTTACTTTCTTCTTCATTAAAATGCAGCAAATGACCTGGTTCATACATTGTCAATAATACCTGTAAATGTAAACATCATTTACATTAAGAAATCAATTAGTTCTATTACTGTTGCATAGCAATACAAATAAACAGAAAAACACAGGTTAAAGGTCCTTGTGATGTCTTTCAATTCTGAAATTAGTTTTCAAACTGAAGATCGGAGTTCTTCTATGAATATAGCTTGTTTTGGTTGGTTGCACACAATCTAAAAAAATGTTAACAGCAAATCAAAAATTGTGCCGATGTACCATTTAAATCAGTTGCATAAAGATCAGCCGACTTGAAATACTGTCTACTTCACTAAATGTCAGACAAGAAAGGTCATATGGTGCCACCCTTACCAGATGGTAAACAAGACTATTGATGATGCAGATGCTTTGCTGTAATTGTCATTCTAAAATTCCAAATATGCTATTGTCTTTGTATTCAGTTATTAGGACCATACAATCTCACTGATAGAGAACATAATGTCTTCTCTCAAATTAAGATATATTTACATGAAAGATGTGATCTCTTAAAAGAAACTAAATATTTCTCTCCACCTCAGGCCTGTTCAGGGTTTACCACCCTGTGGGGCTTATAAGTAAAGTGTTAACTATTTGTTTGGATGGAACTGAAAACTGAGGCCTGTATGTGTACACATTAAAACAAATGAAAAAGAAAATCTGGACGGTTGGAATTCGACGAAGAGTACATGTAGATAGAAACTCAAAATTCTTCTCCCTACCATTGCATGTGACCATATAAATAACCCTATGCTAGTCTGAAATTAACTGAAGTATTGCACTAGCACATTCAACTCTGTTGCTTTCAAATTTAAATATGAATGTTAAATGTCAAAGGGAGCTAACTTTTTTGTTCCAATTAAAATGAATAAGAGTGTAAGAAATGATTGTATCTTTAATTCAATCCATATTACCCTGAGTGTTAATTTAAACACAGCTGCTTCAACTAAACTTTAAATTTTATTCGACCTGAATTAATGACTTAAGTTAAATTCATACAGAACAAATGTTTTCTATTTGTGTATTCATGAAGTCAGATATTTGAATACAAATAAACAGTTGTTAGTTTCACACCTGCATTTAAAGTGGAGTTCCTGGTGCTGGACATAAAGAGAGTTCTGATTATTAGCAGAGTGAACAAACTGCACATGAAGGAGATTCTGTTATCCTAAACCTGTTAGATTTATATAAAACCTCATATCCAGGGCCACTATATGTTATGGTAAAACCTCATAGATGGAATCGAGTAAATACACTTCAAAGATCACTTTTACTGAAGTCATTACTTTAATAACTAACCTGTTCACCTACATACACTTAAGCCTAGTGTACATAGGCAAGTTTTGTCACTTGTTAATGCAAAGAGCAGTTGTTGGGCAAAAATGTGCCTACATGTATCTTTCAGTGATTTTCAAGTTCACATGATATTTAACTTACTCTTTGAGACCACTTGCTGCTGCGTACAGTGATTGACATTGGATTCAGGCTTCTTAATCCATTTTGAAACGAGCCAGTTAAATGAGGTCCCGGTAGGAAATGGGTTTTAAAATTATTAGCTTCCATTCCCTTTAATATATCCAGACTTCAACAAAAATAATTCTTGGAAATTTGTTATGAGGAATATTGTATTCTAATGTATGTAATTACCACAAAAATAACGACAAATAGGTAAACCATTCTGAAAATTTTCCATATTTAATTCATGTACCAGCTTGAAATTCATGTCAGTAATATTCCTGAATAAATGGTATTTCTTCATAACACAATTTGCAGTTTTTGTCTATCAGGTAACTAACTTGCAAATGTTTTTATTCATTCATCCATGACAGACACACGGCACATAATTGAAATTGCTTTAAAACAAAATTTTGTAGCTTTCAATAATAATAATGATAATATTTTTAAAACTAAGCCTCTGTCATCAGGAGTATAAAATAAAAAATCATAATGGTAAACGCTATTTAAAACTAAATATAGATATTCAACTAAGATTTAAATTTAAATAACAACTGGTTAGCAAAACCATTACATGTATGATCCAGTTAACTTTTAATATCAACCGGTATCTGGAATTCATCAGAGTGTTGAAGATGCGCAATTCCCGTGCTGATATCCCCTTCCTTTTATCGCCACATGGTTTATTTCCACAAAGGCAACTTACTGGACCTATTATGAACAATCAGCAAGCTTGATTTGTTTTTTACCGGATCATCAAAATTAACATTGCATTTGCTAATTACTCGGATTATGAACCATATGGCCGATTCTTACTAAGGTATGACTTGTAGCCGACAAGCAACTTGATTGACTACTTAATCAACGAGTAATAATTAACCCATTGTAATTTAGCCAACAGTAGATTGATTTATAATACCATAGTGGCCGGTTCATCTTTTTCCTAATCGGCTTGATTGAATTTTAAGCGGCTAAAGCCGACAAAAAACAGCCAATTAACATCACTGTTTGGATTTCCAAGCGATGTGCAACAGTAGATATCTGTAGCCATCACAATAACATGCCCACATTTTAAATTTTCCGTAGCAATGTTGGAGAAATTAAAAATTGCTTGCAAATCGCCTGTGTGCATATAGGCTTTACTTTACTAATATGAAACAAATCTCTTCCATTGGACTGATTTTAGTCACTTCCAAGAGACTCAGGTAGTTTGTGATGTCAAGGTTTGGTCATGACATAAATGACATCAATTGATGTTGACGTGGATTACAGAAGTTGGCAAACAATGGTTGTTTGTTGTTTTTAAAAAAAAAAAAAAAATCAACAAACATAAAAAAAAGCCAAAAAATCTTTGAAAAGAAACATAAAAACTTGGAAAAAAAATATCTTTTATAAAGAAATTCATCTGTTGGGGAACAAATAAAAAAATTCAATAAAGGTAACAAATTTCTTTTCTTTTAGCCAATAGATCTTTAAAAATAAACAGTTTTTTGTTGTTTTTTTTCAAGCTTAAAATATGAGATAAGAAATAGAAGAGATAGCTACATACCGAATATATGAGGTTCCTCTGAGATGAAATCGTCAGCCGGTTTAGTACATGCAAATAAGGAATACCGGTTCATCCTACACTTGAACACCAGATGGCAGCCTCACTCGATAGTTTTTTTTATATCTTTTTCTACACTTTATTTATAAAAATGTTCGGGTCATCTTAACCTTGCTACTGTAGCCAAAGTATTCAATTGAACTGATTTCACCCAACGCACCACATATGGATTAAAGATCCTCTTAGCTTGAACCAAGAGAATTTTATTCTCAAAACTTAAAACATTTGTATGAGGATTTCTGAAATCATTTCATATAGATTGTACATTTTCTCTTTATATGTAAGACTGTCGCAGTAAAGTTTGTTTGGGTCATATCAACCTCAAATCCATCACACTCAAATCAAAACCATTCGCAAAAACACCTGAAAATATGCAGGATTCTTAAAGCTGGAACCAGTCACTGTAAATTTTGTTTTCATCATCATTTGTCAGACATTTAGCATCGTTACATTGTTTTGTAAGAATTTATCACATGTGTAATGAAAACATTTGAACATTAGTCGTGAAAATTGATATCAAATCAAGACTCGTATGAAAGAACACGGTGAAAATGATTCAATAAAATATGGCTATAATAACATATCTTGAATAGCATAATATTGAACTTAGAAGCGAAATCCTTCTTACACAATGTTGATATAAATTCAATGAAAAGGTCACTGAGACACCCAGACAAAATCTAATTCTTCAAGTTTTTTTTTTAATGAACTTGAATGAACTGATAGTGTCATATTTTACACATAAAACCATTCAATGATTAGAATAAAGTCTTTTCTCATTCACGACCTCGATCTGTATTTTCAATCCATAAATATTTTAAAGTTTACTCTTAACGGTACAATCTTAAATTGCTTCCAAGGTTGTATAAAATATTGATTTGCAAGTTCGTTCATAAAAAATATAAAATTTGCAGGAAACTCTTATCGCAATATTATCCTTTTATAATGGTATATTTTTCCTTACACTCAATTCACTGTATATATATGAATAGATTAATGGACGGCTGTAGTATGTCAGAGTCACATTTGTGTGGGGAATATTCAAAACAATATTTCAGATTAACAACTGTCGCCAGTCTTTCAAATCCAATCGTACATCTTAACCACTGAATATAAGTAAATGTTCACAGTTGCAGTAATTAACCGATGTTTTTTCTCTCAACAAGTGTGCCATTATAAATATGGTTTTGTGTTATTGTTTGGCCATACATAGTTCTTACAGACAGAAAAATTCATAGATTAAATGATATATAACACGCCAATTCACCCACGCTTAATCTTCATAAATCAGTCAAGCTAATTCAGCCCTGTCGTTTTGTACTACACAGGCAGTAAGAAAGTAATCCTTAATCTACTAACTGTAATCCATTAACAAACACCCTTGGCTGTCCACACTTTCGGCAAATATCCTTTTAGACCACACATGTGGTTAATAGATGTCACTTTTACTCAGTCCTATTTCAAATCTGATTTTAGGTACCACTAATTTTGAGTTGTAACTGTGTCCTTCCTAAATCTTGAAGATGCAAACCATAGATCAGGTCACTTATCTCATTCCAAATTTGATTTCAACTTATAATCAAATTCAAGTTGATGGTACAATTTAATAAATATTGAAGTTATCATTAATCCTTATCCAAGAATTATCACGCATTACCCATGCTGTTCGTAATATCAATTTATGTCAAATCCCGAATCTACTGGAGAGCTTATAGTAAAATCCATCGGTATACACATGAAGTTATCCACACATCTCTGGTCTCTCTAACCTGCCTAATATTGTATAATACCATAATATTACATCATACAAGAGTATTTATTGCTCCATGTTTGTATTGATCTAAGGCTATATTTAAAGTGCTGTCTGTCCGTGTTCCTCAAGAGTAGTGTTCACCCGTCGTCGTCTCATAACAGCTCACAGCTTTCAGTTAAACACTGCATAATTTTACAATGTTAAATAAGGTACTCTGTCAATACACTTAAACACTGAGTGCCAGTTTTAAGAGAGGATTACAACATTTTAGTAGGTCCAAACATTATTTAACTATGAATATTAGTCAAAGCTAATAAACCAATCTATAAATCATTTATTTTTTGTGAGTATAAAAATCGTATTCCCCCAAAATGATATCGTTCACAACAGTAATTTTCTGCTGGTTGATTAACAATGAGATCAAGCGCATGTATACTGTACAAGTTTAAAAATAACTAAAATTCCTTTTAACAAGTATATACATGTACATGTAATTTGGGGGTATATCATATATCCCTAATATTTTATATTTCTGGCACTAAGCGTTTAAATGAAACTTTGTCAAGATTAAAATTAAATAACCACTACCAAACTATTACTTGAAAAGAGGATTTCTTCCTTGAAATATTATGGCTTCATCAAAAACATAGATATAAGCAACACGTCTACACATTTCAGACACAAAATGTCCTCCTCGAAACTCTAATATGAAAGAAATTATTGATTTATTTAATTCAGTTCTCAATGAAAAGCTAAACTTCATGCCTACACGTACAAGTTTTACTCATCTTTAAAAAGATTACAAAGGAAACTTAGAAAATAAACAATTTAAATAGACCTACATGTAAATATGTAATTGCCAGCCTTCATTAAACAAAAACAAAAACCTTCAATAATTCCTTCAAAGTTTCTTCAAACCACCAAATCTCAACTTTTGTCCAGTAAGTTTAGCTCTTTTGTGTTTTTTCTATTCTTATGAAAATAACCGCTATCTTGCTTTATTTTTTAACAGCGAGAAATGTTTTAAAACAAACAGATTTTAAAGTCTACAAAACATCCCATACAATGGCTGACTTTAGTAACAGGAGGCTGGATAATGTTTAAAGCTACAGTATCTATAAATCATTCAGATACACTGTGATGATTCCAATGAACTGGGCAAAAATATGTCTACATATGGGAGTTTCATATTCACTGATTAATACAAATATGTCATTGTCATGGTCATCCTATAGATAGTATAGGCTTTAGAATGTGTCCGCTACTCAGTTTACCTATTATAACCTACTGTGGATTACCTTCAGTCAGGTGTACTGTCAGAAATTAGTGGACCTATTCTGAAATAGCTCCATCTTTTATTTCATTATTTCAAGGATCTTTAACAATTGGAAGGAGAACAGAAAATTCCTTGAGTTTACCACATACATGTACGGTACAACCTCACCATTTTCTTATTGTTTGAAAAAGTTATGTAGTATTAATTTTAGATGCTCAAAGCTCACACAATCCGGTGTTACTGGAGAACAAAACCTCTTTATCTGTGTACGAACTGTATCTTTAAGTTGTATTGTGTACCCACACGATGGAGAAGTTTCAAATAGTCAATAATCAAACGGAAACATGTGGTAGAATGGGTCTTAGTTTAAACACTGTAGTAATCTTTTATATACCTTAAACAGCATGTATAACACAACCACAGTATCAACACCAACTTGATAATAAACTACACAGTACAGATGTAGCAAATTTGAGAAACGAATCGCATCTTGGAAAAGATTGGAGCACCAACATTATGTGTAAGATATGCATAAAAGCATGTTGATTACCCTAGTCAATAATTGACTGCACAGTGCACTAGTTCTGTGAACATCTTATCATCCATATCTTAATTGATAATCAATGCTAAATATGGCAGAACGAAGGAACTGCCATTTTGAACGATCATGTAATAGCTTAGAGGAAGTGCACTAATCACAAAATGGTGCATGTATGATTGCCACAATCAGTAGCATAGCATTCTTATTACAGTAAGCCTTTTACACACATGGGTTTAGACTTGAGCAATAATAAAAAAGGTCAGAAGAAGTTTTGTAATATCCTATCTAGAGATCCCACATCAAAACATAGGGTCTACGATGGGAATATTATAGGGAAATAGGGTTAAAGATCCACTTGACACAAACTAGGTCATTTCGGGACTTACGCATGGTTCAATCACAAATAAGGAAAAGTTATTATTAGTTGTTCTGTAACTGTATTTTGTACTATTCTCAGAATAATGTTCCTTTTACAATGTGATAACTTTTCCATAGATCCAGTGAAGCCAAATCCTTTAAAAACATGTACAACACACACAGCTGTCAGACCTTTCCACTTAAAAAACACAACTAGTTGTCTACAAGATGTAAAATATATCGCTCTCCTGGCAAATAGTTTGTTTCATACTACAACTCTTATCACTCCTACAATATACTTCATCTTGAAACATGTCTTTTTATAAGCAAGACAATCCATCACATTTAAAAGATACAAATTTAAAGATTTTTTGCCTTACATCACAGTTACTATATCTACTTTGTATCCATCCTAAATTTATAAGCTTAAAATACATGTACAGTAGCAACTAGTTTTATAAAATCAAAATGTTTTCTCTTCCAAGCCTAATAATAACAAAACACAGACATATGAGGCACAACGTTTCAAATCTAAATCCAAATGCATAAGTTAATCCAAAACTTACATGTTCTCCTGTGATATCAGGTGTATTAGAAAGTCTAAACTTATACCCAGAACCGTGCATGTCAGTACCTCTAATAACTTCAGGATCTAAGATAACCAAAGTTTTTAAAAGACTAAATCAGAATTCCATAAAATGCCAAAGAATAAAAGAACATCTACAATAAGACACAATGATTACCAAATAGATGTCTGTCCGTTCTCAACCCCACTGTTATCACTCATGTCACTGAAATACACAATTTGGTTAAGTTCTAAATGAACCAATGAGTAACAAAAAATCCAATTTGGAGAAAACCACCCAGTCTTACTAAACATAAACCATCTCAACTCGAACAAACGAGTGGAGGTGATTCATCCATCTATTTAACTATTGATCAATCAACTCCTAACTTCACAAGCTCTCTTCTGTATCATCTTATTTCAAAGCTTATAATATTCAAACTTCTCGTCTATATTTCACATATTTCAACTACAAACGTTTCATAAAGCAAAGATATCAAAAAGAAATGAGTAATTTTATATTTTTTGATATACATGTAATTCAAATATATGCAATGGTTTTGTTAGATGTTTCAAATTCGTACAAACATATCATCATATTCTAAAATTGTTTCTCAAGAGTATTTACATGTTTCCTGATACAATTACACTAAGTTAACTGTATAATATATTACTTACACTTGTGATAAAAAATTAAAATATACTTGACTTTAAGGATATTTAACAAGATTTTTAAAACTTCAAAAACTTTTAAACTGTAATAAGTATTCCTTCTTCTACAACTACACTGAATCAACTCTGGTATTATTTACTTAACCTTGAACACAAAATTTAAATACACTATATGTACTGGTATAAAACAAATTAATAATTGCACATTTCCTTATTTTGATGCATTGCATGACTATTGTGTTCAGTAAAACTTTTCCTTAACAATTACTTGTACATGGCTAAATATTCGTGAACATCATACCCTTCCAAATACGATAGAACTCTTCTCTACATATGTTTATCTAAACAAATAAGCACACTAAAAAATTCTACGAACTTTAAAAACATTATAAGCCATTACAAGAATTTAACTTCCAGATGTAGACACGCTTTTACGAATTGATCTGCAAGGCATACCACACACATGAACCTACTTATAACTTCTTACAACTTAAAAGAAAAAAAGAAATTTC